TAGTAAATAAAATGTCTATATTTGTGTTGTAGTCATGGCGACCCCTGGTTCCTATCACCACCACTGTAAAGACATCTGAACCATTTCAAGCCAAACCACTCTGAATCTCTGTTTACACCTCACACACTGATGCAGTGGAGTTCCCCTTTAAACTGGGCATTTGATTATGCAAGCGCCTCAGTTAGGGCAGGTTAAAGAGTCTCACCTCAGATTTACTCAGTGTCTCACACTGATACGCTCAGATTAAAATCCAAGGATCTATTTTTAGACTGTAGGTAAACGTGACATTTGAACACGCATGTATTTATACCTATATATATATATGTGTACATATATATGTACATACATATTTACATGTACATGTACATACATATTTAGATATGTGTGTATATGCATACATAGTATATACATGTACATATAAATACACAAGAAACAATGTAATCTGCAAATATGCACAGTAATAAATATTTAGTCTGAAATAAAAATTGACTTTAGTTTGGCAACTTTCAGATTAAGTTTGGCATTTTAGACACTTCAGTACATGGTACAGGTGGGTGATATGGCAAAAATATTAGATCATACTTCAAGACATTCTCACGATACACAATATGCATCACAATATTTAATTTTTCTGAGATTCAACAAGTTGGAACAGACAAAATAGAATCTATAGTGCCACATTTAAAATACTATGATAATACTAATAATAAACCTACAACTACAATGACTTTTAGTCAGTGTTTTACAGACTTCACTTAATCAAATTAATTAAATGAAACATGTAATTAGTCAGTGTTTTTTTAATTCTGACGATATCCACAAAACGCTCAGGAAAGCGTATTGTGACACAATGTATCACAATAACGATAAAGCACCGTCATATTGTCCATCCCCAATACATAGTTATGAGATTTGCTCCAGTATTAAACAATATATAAAGTTATATAGTGAATGTATCCCTCCACTATGAATGGATTTTAAGGCCAAAATCTACTCAAAACTATCATAAAACAGTGTCTCAGTCATCAGGCAGTGAATTCATAACCATCTCATGTAGTAACTTTCTGTGAGGGAGCTTTTAGAGGTGGACGTCTGGTTCCTATCACCACCACTGTGAACAGTTCTGACTCGGTAAGTTTCTCTTGAAACACCAAACCACTCTGAATGACTCTGTTTACATTTTAGCCAGCTTAATTATACAAGGTAAATCATAAATAAAAAATAGAGACATGGGCAGAGGTTTGAGATCTACTGGAACTGAGACCTTAATCAATATCTGATTACTCATTTCAGTAATACGGGGGTTGAGACTGAGAAGGTCAGTGCAAGCGGAGCATAAAAGTGCACACAGGAGAACTCAGAGCTTATTGATCAGGTCAGTTACTGCTCTTAAACACAGAAAAGACACAATAAAACACTGTCAATGCAAATTCAGGACTTACTGTAATATTCAGCTTATGTATTCTGGGCTAAAGTCAAACCTATTATGCTCTTTAAAAAGATGGTTCTTCAAGGGTTCTTTATAGAACACCTTCCATGCCTAAAGGGTTCACTGCATGGTGAAATGGTTCTTCAGACTGATGAAAAATGTTTTGTGTATGGTTCTGTGTCTTTTTTCAGAATGGTTCTATATAGCATCAAAAAGGGTTCTTCTACTGTTACAAATTTGACATCGTAACAATAGCAGAACTATTTTTGGTGCTATATAGAACCCTATACAACACATTCTCCGCCAATCTGAAGCACCATTTCACCATGCAGAGAACCATGTAAGTATGCAAATGGTCCTTTGAGTGTTCGTGGTTCCATGTAGAGCCAATGTCTTTACTAAAGAACCCTTGAAGAACCATCTTTTTTAAGAGTGTATGCATGTAATCACTTAATTAAACAAATTCTGCTGTTATACAGTTTATATGTTTACATTCTACATTCTGTGTCGTCAGATTCAAATCTGCGCTTCTGAATTATTTTTGTTTCAATGTCAAAAAAAATGATAAAACACAGAAAAGTGTTTACAGTTGATCTTACAAGCAGATTTTTCTAATGCATGTCTTTTAAAAGCATAAGCACTCTTTTACTATTCATATGGAAAAGGAATGCATGTAAAATTTAATTATCAAGTACAGTTGAAAATGTAAACGTATATAAATACACGTGTAAATATGTATATATATACATATATATGTGTATATATATATATATACACACACACACACACACACATATATATATATATGTGTGTGTGTGTGTGTGTGTGTGTGTGTGTGTGTGTGTATGTTTATACCCTGTCCACCACCCGGTCCAGCTCCATCCCTCAGGCCGGCGCTTAAACCAGATGAGGATCAGGACATCCAGGCTACAGAGGAGCTTCTTCCCACAAGCCATCACTCTCTTAAACCATTAAAATATTTTACATAAAATATTCCAGCTTCTAAACTGCACTTCTAAAGATACTGGTATATATTATCACAATCAACAGTCCATCCTGTGAAAGTACCGTCTAAGACCAGTGTTTATTCTAGCATCTCACTTACCTGCCTTATTACCCCACTTATCTGAATGTTACCCCACATACCTGCCTTATTACCTCACTTATCTGACTGTTACCTCACTTATCTGACTGTTACCCCACATACCTGCCTTATTACCTCACTTACCTGACTGTTACCTCACTTATCTGACTGTTACCTCACTTACCTGCCTTATTACCCCACTGATTTCCCCCCCTGACTTACCTCACTTCTCCCTTTCTTTGCCACTATACACCCTTTAACTGCTGCTGCACTCAGCACTTTAACTTAAGACACATACTTTGCACACTGTAAGGTTTACAGGTATGAGTGTGTGTGTGTGTGTGTGTGTGTGTGTGTGTGATGGTAGGAATGCATGCTTTACTTCATTTTTTTACTACATGTAAATGTCTGTCTGATACTGTGCACTGTGAGCTCCTGTAACCAAAACCAGATTCCTTGTATGTGGAAGCATACCTGGCCAATAAAGCTTGATTCTGATCGTGACACAGTTATGATCTCACTATAAACAGGGTAAATATTTGCTGATTGTTCAGAACCTGGTGGTTCAGCGTGATCAGTTTTCTCCTGCTTGAGCTTCTCCGGGGTTCTTATGCCGCAAACTTTGTTGGTGGATGGTCCTGTAAAACATGATTCAGTTCTGGTTTATGGGAGTCTCTTGCATATTTTGTGATCAACCTGTGGCACAACATGTGCCTGATTATGTGTTCCGTACTCAGGGAGTGCTGTTATCTAACCCAAGAGGCCACAACTGGTTAAACTTGAATGTCATTCATACCCTGTTAATGGTGTTAGGGGAGCTGATGAGGCGTCATTCGTGTTGTGTAGACTCTCTCTCATGTGTTTGTGATCAGTTTTGAACACACAGTGTGATTTTTACATGATGTTTCAATAACAAGATACTTAGCACTAATAAATAGAGAGGACAAATGGTGGTGTGTATACAGCGACGTAACACTCAAAGGACTATTTGCATGCTTAAATGGTTCTTTGCATGGGGAAATGGTTCTTCAGATTGATGAAGAATGTGTTGTTTTCGAAAATGGTTCTATATGGCACCAAATGGTGTTCTTCTATTGATGCAATGTCAAGCTTGTAACAAAAGCTGAACCATTTTTGTTGCGAAATAGAACCATATACAACACATTCTCCTTTAATCTGGAGAACCATTTCACCATTTAAGCATGCAACTAGTTCTTTGAGTGTTCATGGATCTATATTTATTCTATATAGAGTCTTTACTAAAGAACCTTTGAAGAACCAACCTTTTTTTAAGAGTGTAGTGCACATAAGATGCACTTAATACGTTTAGTATGTGTGAAAACACATATTATACATGAACAAACGAGGAAAAGAGGGGGAGAGAGGTTTGTCTGTGAAGGGAATGTTTTATTTAATATTAATATTTTATTTTATATTTAAAGGAAACTTTTGTAGAAGGCCTTCCCTCATGGACAGAGCGGGTACATGCAACTGTTCCTTCCGTGCTGCAACACGGACAACCCCAACAGTTCCTCTACCGGTTTATATGGGCCGTGAATTGCTCATAAAAGTAGAGAATACACAATAACCAAAAAATGTCATGCAACAGGGACCGATTGTCTTGATATATACTCTAGAATAAGTTCGTACGATTCGGATTAGGACGGTGCTGATCATTGTCTTTACGTTAAACAGACCAAATCCACGTTTGTAAACAAACCGGGTTCCAGAGAAAGGAGATTAAAATCATGAAGAAACATATGAAATATAAACACCGATCCAATTTAATCACCCTGGGTCACCTCAGATGTGAGTTTCGAAGGACCTAAAGTCCTCCTAATGTAGTGAATGGAGCTCAGCTGTGAGGCTGATCTGAGACCTGCCTTTAAATGCCCGCTAACTTTCAGCTTTGGGCTGTCAGTCACGAAAGAAATGCAACTCCCATTTCCTTAAAAACCTTTATTGAGATTGACAATATGTATGAATTCATCACAGCAACTGATTTAAATTGTTTTTTTTTTTAATCCGCGTCTGAATTTCAATGGAAGTCAACGGAGATTGCCCACAATTCCGTGCTTTGTTTACAAACGTAAAATCGCTCGGTCCAGGCGAGAAAGATAAAAAAAGACAAATAAATGACAATATCGGTATTTTTGAGCCACAAACGTGCTTTTAACACTATCATAACAACACCATAATCCACAGCTGTGCTGACAAACACAGCTAGTACTCCCACGAAATTCACCTGACGTTAGCTTGTAGGCTAACTTTGGCTGAATCCCAAATAGCTCCCTACTCCCTATGTAGTGCACTTCACAGCTCACAAAATAAAGGCTTCTGCACTCAAACTGTCGAACAGAAAGCCAATTATATTCAGCTATGGTGTACGTCTCTCCGTCTCACACTACCTGGGTGTAGAAGTCATAGATTAATGACCCATGTAGTGCACTACATAGGGAGTAGGGAGCCATTTGGAATTCGGCCTCTGTTCAGCAGGTCTGCTAACGTTGATAAGCTCTGTCTAATATCACGGTGCTGCTCGCAGCCTCCGGTCTCTGCTAGACTCGAGATAAAGACGGAAAAAATGAAGTTGAGGAAGACGGTTTGTGGAAAGTGAGGTAGAATGAGAGGTATGAGAGTTAAGGGAAGCGAGGGTGACAGGTTTGTGCCGTTTTAACGCCGGATTTGCGATCCTGCCAGCCAGACGGAGGGAGCCAGACGGCTTTAGCAGCTAGCTCGCCATGGGGAAGGAGGTAAACGGGGTGTCGCGGAGTCGCTTTGAGGTCAGCGATTTCTACCTTTTCTTTCTTTTTTCAACTTTGACACTACTATTTGTTCGTTTACAGACTCGCCCTGCATCGAGTCTGACAGTTCTGCCTGTGTTCTCAGTTTGTTTGTTGTTCTAGTATGAAGCTGAATTCAGCTTCTTGTTTGTTCGCCAGCTTCGTGATCGAATTTTCCAGTTCCACCTTAAATGGTGCAGCAGCTACAGTCTGACGCCTGAGGCCGAATAGGACTGCTGCAGCATTTAAGGTGGAACGGGAAAATTCGATCACGAAGCTGGCAAATAGGAAGCCAACTTCAGGCTTAGGCCAGATGAGGTTGTTGTTGTTGTTGTTGTTGTTGTTGTTTGCTGCCTCGTCGATGGCGCTAGACTGGCACTCATGTTTTGTGACATATTATTATTTTAAACTAATTTTAATCTCTGGTAGTCGAGATGGCCGATTAGGAGGCGTTTAGCTAGCTTCCTTTCTTCTTTGTGTGCCTTATGAAAACAACCCCGGCGTGTGGAGCTCAATGAGCTAAAAATATGCCACATTACAGCGTGCAGAAAATATTACCATCCACTTTACGAGTCCTTTTGAGTGGATTTGTTTAAATGTTTATGTCATGTTTATGCCAGATGGCTCGGATCATGGGGCTATTCAGAGCTAGGCCTCGTCTCAAAGTACACAAAGTGCCTGACAGGCTTTAAAAACAGAAATAACACCTAAACATATCGCCGTGTAAAGGTGAGAAAGTGCTGCTATCTGGTTGTGAATGTGTGAAATTCCAGTTCTTGGTGATCGTTAATGCAGTGTAAAGTTTAATGGGACGTCAGGGCTGGAGCTTTGTGGGCCCAGTTGGGCTGTTGGTGTTGTGGATGGAGTGATTTTGTAATTCTCAGTCTGGGATTTAGGTGTTTCTGAAGGTACAGAAACTGGTGACAGAGCAGATCTGGCATAATAACAACAGTAATAACACTCTACACCCCTGATAATGGCCTGATGTCCACATGTAAGTGAGGATTTACCCTCATTCAACCCCGTTTTGCTTTTCTGGTGCTTTAAAGGTTCTGCACTGTGGTTCTGAACCCAGCAGACCCCGTATCTCGCTTGGGTTTGTGCTTGTCCTGTGTTTATCTGAGGATTTTCTCCGGCCACTGCCGCATAAAGCTCCATCAGCTGCTCCTAAACGTCAATCTTCCTTCGTCACCCCCCCCCATGGTCACGCCCACTTTTGCACTAAGCCACGCCCAGTGGGTGGTGATTAAGCACGTAATAAGTGACGTGTGGATAAAGAATCTTTTGTTTTCTTCGTAAAGGATTAAATGAGTACGTTTCATTCAGCAGCGCAGGGCAGTGCGCATTGTTTAGATTTTACAGATGTGTGAAGTGAGTGAAAAATAACATACAGGCCAAATATATATTCACACCGTTTATGAGAAGGATGTGGTGTTACTGATTCATTCATTACTCTTACTTCCTTAAACTCTAGGCTTAGTGTTCTGTTAATAATCTTAGTACTTATTACAGATACTTAGTGTCTGCTATGAATTACTCAGCATCTACTATGAATTATTCAGTATCTACCATGAGTTAGTTGGTAATAAATATGAAGTATTCAGTATCTATCATGAGTTATTCAGTATCTACTATGAATTATTCAGTATCTACTATGAATTACTCAGCATCTACCATAAGTTAGTTGGTAATTACTTTGAATTATTCAGTATCTATCATGAGTTATTCAGCATCTACTATGAATTATTCAGTATCTACCATGAATTATTCAGCATCTCCTATGAATTATTCAGTATCTACTATGAGTTAGTTGGTAATTACTATGAATTATTCAGTATCTACTATGAATTATTCACTAATTACTATGAATTATTCAGCATCTACTATGAATTATTCAGTATCTACTATAAGTTAGTTGGTAATTACTATGAATTATTCAGTATCTACTATGAATTATTCACTAATTACTATGAATTATTCAGTTTTCACTACTAATCTTTAGGTTCTGCAGTTGTGAGAGTGAGGAACTGGCCTTTAGCGTTTAAAGGGTTAAGTTCTTGCGGATGCAGTTTCTGATATTTTTTTCCGTTTTGTCAGTGAACAGTTGCACAAACCGTTCATGTGGTTTGTGCAGTTCTTCTCTTCTCCATCTGCGATGACTCTGCTGAAGCTGGTATTCTGTGAAATGTCATTTTACTGATAATTGAGCTGAACAGCGTTTTAGTGATGTTGCTGGTTTACTAGCTCAATCTGTGGCTCGTCTAGTGCTGCCTGAGAGGCTGATGCTTTTTCTCTTAGCCTTTAAGACGCCTTACATTGAATAACAATTACACAGTAATTACATTAAAACATAAACTATATTTCTGTTGTGTGTGCACAGGTTTGAGCCTGCAAGTCTTCTTTGATCTGTTTGTTTTAATGACAAAAAAATGAAAATTTTCTCATTCTGACCACCTCCTTGTTTCTACGCTCATTGTCCATTTTATCAGCTCCACTTACTATATAGGGTCACTCTGTAGTTCTACAGTTACAGACTGTAGTCCATCTGTTTCTCTGATACTTTGTTAGCCCCCTTTTACCCTGTTCTTCAGTGGTCAGGACCCCCATGGACCCCCACAGAGCAGGTACTATTTGGGTTGTGGATCATTCTCAGCACTGCAGTAACACTGACGTGGTGGTGGTGGTGTGTTAGTGTGTGTGTTGCGCTGGTGTGAGTGGATCAGACACAGCAGTGCTGCTGGAGAGAGGGCCTGGCTCACAATCTCCGTTCTAGTTCATCCCAAAGGTGTCTGATGGGGTTGAGGTCAGGGCTCTGTGAGGGTCAGTCAAGTTCGTCCACACCAAACTCACCCAGTCAGGCCTTTATGGAGCTGCTTTGTGCTCTGGGGCTCAGTCATGCTGGAACAGGAAAGGTTCTTCCCCAAACTGTTCCCACAAAGCTGGAAGCATAGAATTGTCCAAAATGTCTTGGTGCTGAAGCTTTAAGGTTTCCCTTCACTGGAACTAAGGGTTCTAGACCAACCCCTGAAAAACAGCCCCATATCATCATCCCTCCTCCACCAAACTCTACAGCTGACACAGTGCAGTCAGGCAGGTAACGTTCTCCTGGCATTCGCCAAACCCAGACTCGTCCATCAGACTGACAGATAGAGAAGCGTGATTAGTCACTCCACAGAATACGTTTCCACTGCTCCAGAGTCCAGTGGTGGCGCTTTACTCCACTCCATCTGACGTTTGGCATTGTGCTTGGTGATGTAAGGCCTGCATGCAGCTGCTCAGCCATGGAAATCCAGCCATGAAGCTCCTGGTGCAGTTTCTGTGCTGATGTTAAAGCCAGAGGAGGTTTAAACTCTGCAGTTATTGATCAGCAGAGCGTTGGTGTCTTTTATGCTCTATGCTCCTCAGAACTCGGAGACCCGCTCTGGAACTTTACGTGGTCTGACTCCTCGTGACTGAGTTGCTGTGGTTCCTAAACACTTCCACTTTTCAATAATACACTCACAGTTGATTGTGGAAAATCTAGGGAAGAAATTTTGCAAACTGACAAACTGACTTGTTGCAACATGGCATCCTATTGCAGCACCACGCTCTAATTCACTGAGCTCTTTAGAAAGACCTGTTCTTTCACTAATGTGTAAAGGCATTTATACACCTGTAGCAATGAGGCTGAATAAAACGCCTGAAGTGATTAAGAGGTGTGTACGTATATGTAGGAAGTAGAGACGGTTACTGCTTGAAATGAATGGAAAAGCTTGTAATGCTCAACATGGCATCTTTTTGCAGAGAAAGTCTTGCCCTTCCAGAAAAAGAGCCAATTAGCTTGCTGGTCATGGCGCGAGCGGGAAAAGCCCCCGTCGATGCGGAGATGGATGCAAGTGCATTTGGCAGAACAACCCAAAAACTTGTTTTTTATGCGTTACTGAGCCAAACGGTACAATTTATGAGGTAAAACAGTAGTTTGACCTTCAGTTTCAAGTATTTTGGTCCCTCCCCATTCAGAGAGAGAGGAGTCTGGTTTTGTATGGCTGGAAGTAACGTTGCGTTGCAAAGATGGACGCCGAGTGAACACTTTCCTGTAAGGACTTTAATGTAGTGAGTACATGGTTTTACTAACAGACAAAGGCATGGTTTGTTTTATTTGTGACTCAAATACTTTTACAAAAAAATTATTTAACTCATCTGTATCTGTACTCGGTGCTCAGTATCAGCAGATATTTGAGGGTTTTCTATCAGAAGGGGTAAAGTGGTATCGATGCATCCCTACTGTAAACACTGTGGTGTTTGGTTGCTCTAGTGGTCATTGAGGAAGCCAGACAGAAGGAGAAGAATGAAGCGCAGGCTGATGTCCAGTCTCGCTGTTGAAGTGTCATCACTCAGGCACATGACTGAGTTTATATGGATGTTGTGTAAGAGAGCAGTCAGACTGTAGGGTGTACGTCTGGATTTGTCGGTCTGCCTATGAAAACCTTGTCCAGCTCAGAGTCCAGAGCTATCTCAGACTGGACCCTGAACATGACCAGAGAGCACATCACACCCAGTACAGAAGGCATGTGCTCTAGCATGAGCTGCAGAAGTTAGCATTACTTCTGCTTAGACAAAACGTTTTATACAGTGTAGGCTAGGCCTGTCGCGGTCATGACCTTATTTAGCTGATCAATAATTGTCATATAATTAGTTGTGATTAATGATTTAATTGTCTTGTTCACTGAATGCATCTACATTTGTACAAGCCAAATCGGCTGATTAGCTGTCTTGCCTGTGTTTGATTAGTAGCTGATATTGGTTGTTCCGTCGAAATGATACGCTGTGCTGTTGTGTATGAGCCCAAACACTCACACACACATTTACAGTTACACAGATTTGTGTGTAGAACCAAGCAAAACTACATAAGAGCGATAATATGAGCAAAAAACACTTATTCTGCAGTTACATATATAAAAAAATTACAATCAGCAGTTCACTGACATCATACCCCCACCCCCACCCCCGCTACCCGGGGGATGCATATCAGAAGGTAGTAAAATAAAAATAATGAAATAATAAAAGAAATAAAAATAGTTGGCAATTAATTTACTGACCTTTACTGAAGTAACGTTACACGTATTACGATTCACTGAGTAGGCTAACGTTGTGTCAAGTTAGCTGGTCCAATATTTCACAAAATAATAATAATAATAATAATAATAATAATAATAATAATTGCATCAATAGATTGCCATTTTTGTAAAATGTATTAAACTTGTTAGCTAGTTTGATCTTCCTTTCTCTCTTCTCTCTCGTCAGGTGAATAGACATAGGAATACAGGGTTGGGTGTCATGTGTCTCCACTTCCTGTGTCCATTATTTCAAATTTAAAGCCCTCTCCAGTGTTTTACCCGATTTTCTCCCCAATTTAGTCGTCTCCAATTCCACCCGCTAGTTAGGACTCCCCCAATCACACGATGCTATCAACGCTAGGAGGGTGAAGGCTAACACAGGCTTCCTCCGAGACCTGTGAAGCCACCGCTTCTTTTCGAGCTGCCGCTCACGCAACGTCACTGGACAGCCGAACGCGCTCTGAGGAAAGCGCCAACCGCCAGATCTGTTACGTCAGCTAACAGACGCCTGCGCTGACTAGCATCACGCTGAGTGATGGGGGGAGAAGGGGCCATCCCACCCACCCAGAGAGAGTGAGGCCAGTTGTGCTCTCTCGGACTCCCGGCTACGGACAGCTGTAGCATCACCAGGGATCGAACTCGCGATCTCCTGATGAGAGGGCCAACACCCTCTACGCCAAGTTGCCCTCTATACATGTTAGAGCAGCTCATTAAAAGAGGTTTTGCTTTCTTCAGCCTCCTGATGTCAGTAAATACATTTACTGCTTTCTTTTACTCACATTTATTTACCTCGACTCACATCCAGCTCAACAACTTCTTGTTGCGGAAATCTAACGACTGTGAATAAATAAATAAATAAATAATAATCTCAAGTAATTATGATGAGGTGATTATGTAATAATTATGACAGCCCTGGTGTCGACGCTTTGATGATGAACAGTCAGAAATGAGGTGAAGGTACAGACGTTTCTAGGCTCGTAACGTATCTCGTGCTGTTTTACTTTGTGCTGCTTATTTAGCTGAACGTTGTGTTAAAACGGGTCCTTTTACAGTGAGGTGAAGGTTACTACGTATTAGTATTGAATTGATTCCTTAAGCAACAAAGTGAAAGCCCAGAGACGGATAAACTTGGAGAAATTCAATGTTTCTATTTTTATTACAAAGATTACATCATATTTAGCAGTTAATTTAAATAAGGCACCATAACAGCGTATGTTTCTTATACATATTCATGGATTTCAACCTTATGGCTTAAACATGTTTACATTATGTATTACTTCAGCAAATGCTTTTTCTGCTGCCTCATGTATTTACAGGACAAAAAACAGAATCAAACCAGCATTTAAATACTGAAATCAGTGAATGGCAGCAAAGTAATGCTTTAACAGGGCTGTGCAGGTTTGGCTTGTTTTTTCTCAGATGAAACACAAGTGCCAATTTTTCAAACTTCCCTTCATAGCTCAGTGTGTGAGATGTAAACAGAGTGATTCAGGGTGTTTTGGTGTGAAATGGTTCAGATGTCTTTACAGTGGTGGTGATAGGAACCAGGGGTCGCCATGACTACAACACAAATAGAGACATTTTATTTACTATCCAGAACCACCAGTGAACCTACACGAGTCTTCTGAGTTTATATGGAATGTTGATGATGGAAAATAGTGGAAAATCTGGAATAATAAGTTTTCTTTGGGGACTATTTTGCCTCACAACACCCTACATATTATGTATCCCTCCACCATGAATGGAGTTTAAGTTCTCTAAACTATCATAAAACAGTGTCTCAGTCATCAGGCAGTGAATTCATAACCATCTCATGTAGGAACTTTCTGTGAGGGAGCTTTTAGAGGTGGACGTCTGGTTCCTATCACCACCACTGTGAACAGTTCTGACTCTGTAAGCCTTTTAATTATGCCAAAAGTTAGAAAAATGAGTAGAGTTTCCTTCTAACGCGATTCTGGACAAATCTGGGGTCGTTTACAGAAACACTCTCAAAAGGGTTCTTCTACTGTTACAAGCTTGACATCGTAACAATAGCAGAACTTTTTGTTGCTATATAGAACCATATACAACACATTCTCCATCAATCTGAAGAACCATTTCAACATGCAAATAACAAATTAGGCATGAAATGGTGTATATATTCTATATCTGGTTCTCTATAGAACCATTTTCTTCATTGAAGAACCCCTGAATAACCATTTTGTGTAAGAGGGTAGAAGTTGTGATGTTTTGGGGTATGTTTTGTTAGAGCAGGAGCTGGAAATGTTCTACTTTTATGTATCAGAACCAAACCAGCCTGTTTAGAACAGAATGAAAGCTCTGTAGAGTCTAGAACATTGGTCAACAGTCAGAGCGAGTCTTGACCTCGGAATCGAAACCTGAAAATTTGTATTAAACCTTTTTTCTCTTGTTCTCCTCAGATGTTCTCAAACAACGACGAGGCCATCATCAATAAGAAGCTGCCCAAGGAGCTGCTGTTACGGTCAGTGTGGGATCAGCTCGAGCCGTCTGTCTCGTCCCGTCTTCACCCTTTTCTTTCTCCACTCTCTGCTTTTTCTTGCCTCCACTTGTCTTGCCTTTTCTCTTTCATCATTCTCTTTGCTCCACCCCCATTAAAAAGAGGGTTTGTCCCAAAATGCGAACATTTACTAGCAGTGACATTACTGACAAATAGACTGCTTTCGGGCTTGAGTCGCTTCCTTTCACCGCCAGCATGTTAAAGCAGCACTATAAAAGTTTTTGTTGTTATTAAAGCTGAAAGAAGTGTCATTACTGAGTGAGGAGAATAAAAACAGGCTAAAATATGGTGAGTGTGAGCTCCTGTGATTCTCCCTGTAAAGCCTGAAATAATCATTTGAAAGTCAGAGGTGTCGGGTCACACCACATCGTACGCCTTTACGTATTAACGTCACACACAGACTCAAAAAGAAGGTCCGACTCAATGTTTAGGCCTCAAAATCAACATTATACACTGTTAGTAATGAAGGTTCTGTACAGGTACATTTTTCATTCCTCAAGGTACAAACAGTGTAAATGTTCCCTCAAAGCTCCAACAGTGGTTTTAAGGTCTGATTGTGAACCTTAAATCAGTTTTTCCAGGTGAAAAGTTCGTATTTGTACCTTTTCATAACCGAATGTTTTAAACAGAACAGTAAAATAAAAGCCTGGAGTCGAGACGGGGTGTGTGGAGTCAGTACAGCTTAGAACATATCATTTCAGTGGATTATGGTTCAGTTATGTTCCCTGACTAAAGGTACTGAGATGTACCACTGAGGATTCCACCCCAGTGACAAGAGGGGAACTGACCCAGTGACAGTTTAGTACCTTTACACTCACATCCTCAGAAGACACGTCCTTCACCAAGTTAAGACTGGGTTCTTTTCAAACTCTCTTTCAGTCATTAGATTCATCCGCTCGGGGAAGGGTGGCGAAGTACAACCCACATTTTACGAAATGTGCTGCGTGCAGTTACACATGTCCACCAGAGAGGGCTCCAAATCTCCAAAACATACAAAGTGTAGCTCTAAAGCTTCTGTTGAGCCTATATGGTTTATTGTAGTGCTTATTTAAGTTTTTATGTAGGTCTCCTGCAGACAGAGAGTGGAGGTCGTAATCTCGTTCCTGTGGTAAAGCCCTTTCCGGCTTAGTTTAACCTGTTGAAGCCCACAAGCCACATTTCCTGTCTATTGACTCATTAAGTTGCTCCTTTTCCACAGCTTTTTTAGTCACTGAGTGTGTTTACATGCACTTAATAATCTTATAACTGCAGACAATCAGATTTTGTCAGTAACCCAATCAATGTGTTTACATACACTTCAGTAATCAAATAATATGAAAATTCTGGGTCTACATGAGTCAGACAGTAATCAGATTCCTGCTTTGCAACCAGCCAATAAACCTACAGTAGACGTCACAGAAAACGTGCGTTTTTTTTTTTTTTTAATTTATTATTATTTTTTTTATACATTGCACCTCTTTACCTGAAAATATGAACAAACATCATCTATTTAAATCCTTTATTTAATGTTTGGTTTCAGCGTCACTCCAAAGTGTTCTGTTGCGTCTCGCGGCGACGCTGCTCGCTTATTTCCGGTGCCTCCATCTGTTTCACACATGCTCAGACTGAGAAATCTGAAAGAAATCAGAGTAAAAGTTTACATGCACTGAGAAATCTGATTACTGAGCTAAAATCCAGCCTCTTTATCGGATTTCTTAATCAGATTTTTAGACCTTACTCCGATCTAAAAAAAAAAAGGGAGGGTGCTCTTTAATTGACCATTTGAATAATCAGATAATTGCAGAAATCAGATTATGATCGGATTGTTCAGGACATGTAAATGCACTCATTAGCCACGTTTACATGCAGCCTAATAATCCATTAATAATCTGACTAATAGCTCAGTCAGAATAGTCTAGTCTGATTGAGGCCACTCAGAATACAGTTTCTGTCTGACTGATCGAGGTGGGTAATCCTGTAAATAATCTGTTAAATAGAAGAATAATATCTGTGTAAACGCCTGTATCTGATTACATTCCCTATCGGAAAGTTTAAGTCCATTCTGATCATGTTCGTCGCGTCATAGTGAGAGTTTATACCGTTCAACATGGCGGAGCAGAAACTGGTCTGCAGAGGAGACGAAGTTTCTGCTCTGATCTTTAAAAGACGGCGGTGGGACGGACGTCCAGCTTATGTGTCTCAGAACACGACGTCTTCCTCTCGGCCTTCTTTAATAAGGACATGTGAAGGACGTTTTCCTGAGTCTGACATCATTTTAAAGCAATTAAAAACACAAGCGCTGCTCACTGCTGCTCATCTCACTCTGACTGGACTCGCGTGATGCTGGTTGTCATGGTAACGTCTACACTAAGCGGTTCTCTACATATGCGGGGAGATTTTCATCAGATTGTTGAGTAGAGTGAGAATAAACACCTCAGTCTGAATCTGTAATCAGCATGTATTTAATCAGATTGGAGAAAATCTTTGCATGTAAACACAGACGGTGTTTCGTTAAAGGAATAGTTTGGTGGAAAACTAAATTTATCCGTTTCCCACCATCCCCTAACCCAGATGTGCTCAATCAGCCAACACACGTTTAGAGTCTGAAGTTTGCTTCTTTACTTTTTTTACCTTAACATGCATTCAGACATCAAACATGTCTTGGCTGGTCAATTACATTTGTGTTTAGAGGGTAAAACGTGGTCAGTTTGAGTTTTTGATCTTTTTGTTTTGGCCGTGTTGAATAGCGAGTGTTGAAAGTAGGTCTTTTTTAACCTCGATCTCGTGAACACATAAGCACAGAAACAGCCGTTTTCAGACCTGTTTCTCTGCTCATTTGCAGACTCTGCTTTAGCTGCAGGTGTTGTGGGAGTGATGATAGAGCTTATCTGGGCTGTTTTGCATGTGTGTGTTTGGCAGCGCTAATTGTTTCACACTGATATGAAATCGTCTACGTTACTGAAACAGCTCGGGGTGCTGTAACGTTTCAAGACAGTGTGCTTGAATTACTATACGCTACTGCCCATCAGGCTCACTGCTAACAATTTTTAATTATTTTTTAATTAGACGTGGGCAATATTGCACAATTATGATATTTAGATATTTAAAGGAGTTTTAATCACAATAATGACATACATTGTCACCTGCCCAGCCCTAACTTTAATGTTTAAATTAAACAGTTAATAAACAGTTAATAAAACATGTTAACCATAAAACCTGACTATGTTTAAGCTACATCATGCAGCAAAGTCCAAAAAGTGGTGTTCTCAGGCTTTCCTAATATTAGCATTTAATATGGTATTTGTTATTGTTGCAGTGTTCTGTACACTCTTTAAAAAAAAGTGGTTCTTCTAGGGTTCTTTTGTAAAGAAAATGGTTCTGTTTAGAACCATGAACACTCAAAAACAGTTCGCATACTGAAATGGTTCTTCAGATTAATGGAAAATGTCTTATATATTGTTGTATATAAAACCTTATTGAAAATGGTTCTATAAGGGTTCTTCCGCTGTTACAGTGTCAAGCATTTAACAATAGAAAAACCCTTTTTTTGGTGCTACTTGAACCACATACAACACATTTCCCATCAATCTGAATAAATAGAACCACTTTATTTACGAATGTAGCGCACAGTTATATTACCGTGCCTCATCAGTTTGGCACCGTGTCTTATACACTTCGGTATCCTTTTGTTTTACCATCTGCGCAAAAATATCAAAAACACCCTTCAGCGATAGAAAAAGTCAAGTCATACTTTATTTATGTAGCTCTTTTTGCAACAGGTGTTGCCACAAAGCAGCTTGACAGAAAAATCCAGGTCTGAGCCCCCATGAGCCCCAAGACTCAAAAGGGGAACCTATCCTCCTCTGGTCCACACCAAATAGCAAACAATAACACGAGCAGAATGAGCAGAGGATAAGACTTCAGAGTTGATACAAAATATTGAATGTACAACCCCGTTTCCCAAGAAGTTGAGACGCTGTGCAAAATGTGCAAATCATTTAAATCCTATATTTCATTGAAAATAGTACAAAGACAACATATCAAATGATGAAACTGAGAAATTGTATTGTTTTTTTGAAAAATATTTGTCCATTTTGAATTTGATGCCAACAGCACATTCTAAAAAAAATGGGACAGGGGCAACAAAAGGCTGGTGAAGTTGTGTAATGCTAAAAAACACCTGGTGGTTAATTGGCAACAGGTCAGTAACATGATTGGGTATAAAAGAGCATCTCAGAGAGGCGGAGTCTTTCAGAAGTAAAGATGAGGAGGGTTCACCACTCTGTGAAAGACTGCACCATCAAATAGTGCAACAATTCAAGAATAACGTTTCTCAACGAAAAATAGCAAAGAACTTTTGCTTTTCATCATCTATCTCTCTGTATGTAAGGGTCAAGTCTGAAACAGTATTTGCTGGCTGTGATCTTTAGGCCCTCAGGAAGAATCACTTCTGAAAATCACTGTCTGTGAAAACAGTTCATCGCTGCATCCGCAAATGCAAGTTAAAACTCTAAAACGCAAAGAAGAAACCAAGTATAAACAGGATCCAGAAACACTGCCACCTTCTCTGGGCCTGAGCTCATTTAAAATGGACTGAGGCGAAGTGGAAAAGTGTCCTGTGGTCTGACGAATCAAAATTTTAAATTCTTTTTGGAAATCATGGACACTGTGTCCTCCGGGCTAAAGACCACTCAGCTTGTTATCAATGCACAGTTCAAAAGCCAGTATTCATGATGGTATAGGGAGCGAGCTTTTGTACCACAGATCTTCGTCTCTCCGTGCTTTGTAAATGAAACAGTAGAAGCCATATCGCCCCCTACACTTCCTGTAGTGTATTACAGTCTGTCAGAGTGACTGTGTGGATCATATGAACATTATAGAGCTTTTTAAATGAAACAGTAGAAGCCATATCGCCCCCTACACTTCCTGTAGTGTATAACAGTCTGTTTTTTTTGAGTAAATGATGCATCAACTTTTGTTCAGTAGGCTGCAGTCTGTGACTGTATGTCAGGCATTTCTGATAAAGTGGCTAATTAATGCACAAACAGGACAGGAGTAGTTAATAAACTGTGTATATGTGGTAAATAGTTTCCTGAGTGGTCTTTTGATAATGGACGCTTGTCTCCCTGCATGTTCACGCTCACTCTTTCACCACCTCTGTTCCTCTCCCTCTCCATCGCTGCCCGAGTTAAAGAATTCAGGACTGTTTTTGTGAAGTATATTTGGTATTGATATTGTGTTCTGTTTGTTTTTTTTTCCATTTTCTTTTCTAGAATTTTTTCCTTCTTGGATGTGGTCACACTTTGCCGCTGTGCACAAGTGTCTCGAGTAAGTCCGAGTGCGTCCGTGTGTTCGCTGTTCGTTTCTGTTCACCGTGTTTTTGCATGAGATTTGTTGGTGTAAGATTTGTGATATTGTGTGTGTGAAACAATGAGCGCCCTCTGAACTCGGTCTCTGTTTGTTTTTTCTTTTCTTTTCTTTCTTTAGTCCTGGAACGTGTTGGCGCTGGACGGCAGTAACTGGCAGCGGATCGACCTCTTTGACTTCCAGAGGGACATTGAGGTCAGAAAGACCCCCCCCAACACCCTTCCTTTCATTTTGTTACTCGCATATGTGTGTCAAGCAGGGATACACTAAGTGTTTATTAATAATCAAACCAATTATTTTGTTTTACACAGTTTGCAATGTTTGTTCTGTGTGGTCTTTATTACTTTCCATTCAAAAATAGCATGCAGGCTAATGAGGCTCAGTTCAGTTTTTGTCCAAGTATGTAAATAATTTACATCAGAGTATTACAGTCTTTGTTTAGAGTCGCTGCATAATGTGACTGTCCACTTTAAATGGCTGCCCTACTGAGCAGTGTTGTAGCTAATCAAAACTAGACAGGCTAAAAGCAACAAATTAGCCACCAGGCTAACGTTAGCACAGTTACGTATAGAAGCCTGTTCCCACCAGGAAGAGGAGAAAAACTCAAAATTTTGAAGTAATGACTTATTATCACAAAATAATGACTTATATTCTCAAAATATTGCCTTAGTATCTCAAAATAGTGACTATGTTCCTTGAAATATTGACATAGTATCTCATAATAATGAGTTATTACATTTCAGAAAAGTAGTAATAATTATTTCAGGTCTTTGTTACGAGATGATAAGTCAGTATTTCAATTTAGCAAGTCTATAGAGACAATAAGCAATTATATCAAAATGCTACTCAGTAATTTGAGAAAATAAATCAGTATTTCAGGAAACGATACCAATACTTATTTAAAACCAGAACAGTAGATCATGCAGAAGTAGCAGGGCTTTAAAAAGTGACTTAACTAAAGTTCAGGTTAGTTTAGACTCAGTTAGAATTAGAAATGCATCAACATCAGCATTTTCATTTTGTTTACAATGAGGGCCAAATACCTTTAGATTTACACATCTTTAAAATAACTGATTAATGTAGAACCTTTAATTCTCTGTGAAATAAATGAAATGATGTGGATAGAATTGACACTATGGGTGGTGATTATTGGTATCGCTTTCGGTCTTCAGAATGGAAATATATCAGTATATCAATATTTTTGACAACACTTTTTGAAATTTTACAGTAACGTACAAAAGTCTGAGAACATTAATTTATTCAGTTTCCAGTCAAAACAACCATTAAGTACAAATTATTTGTTTTTCAGTCTGTAGAAAAACCTACAGAGCATGTAGAAAACATGTTTAACAGAAAGTCACTCTTTCCTTTATTCCAGCTTCCATTCTTTTCAGGAGACTCACTTTCAGCTCCTCAAAGAATCTGCAGACACACCTCCAAAGTTCAGTCTTAGAAGCTGGTTGATCATTTTCTGAAGTAATCAAACACATTCAGTGGTGTTGAGGTCTGGACTCTGGGGTGGTCAGTCCATCGTTCAGCTTCTTTGTTTGATGTGTCCGTCTCCTTTTCTCAGTGAGGTTCTTCTTGACAGCTACACATCCTTTTAGACCTGTAAACGCTTAAAAAAGATGGTTCTTCAAGGGTTCTTTAGTAAAGACAGTGGTTCTATATAGAACCATGAACAATCAAAGAACCCGTTGCATGCTTACAGCGTTCTTTGCATGATGAAATTATTCCTCAGATTGATGAAGAATGTGTTTTATCTGCTTCTATATAGCACCAAAAAGGGTTCTTACTGTTACAATGTCAAGCTTGTTACAGTAGAAGAACCCTTGTTGGTGCTGTGTAGAACCCTTTTAAAAAAACTTGCTGTTTAGAACCATATACAACAGACTGTCTATCAATCTGAAGAACAGTTTTATGATGCAAAGAACATTTTAAGCATGCAAACAGTTCTTTGAGTGTTGAGAGTTCTATATAGAACCATTGTCTTTACCAAAGAACCCTTGAAGAACCATCTTTTTAGTCTTCTTCTTTAGTCTTTTTAGTCTTCTCACAGTGGAAGAATGGACAGAAACACCTGTTTCTCCTCTCTCTCAAAGATGAAAGCTTTAAGTGCTGTTTATCTGATAGGGGCAGTTTTGGTGTCTACCAGGTCTTCCAGGTGGTTGTTAGGAGCCCCATTTTCTCTGTAGCTCCTCACAAATGTCTCCTAAAATTTGCTCAGTTGTGCTTAATGGCCATTTTGACTGGACATTAGATAAATGAAGGGGGGCCTCTGAGTCTTGCGCAGAGATGTACATCACCTTTTTCTTAAGCCTGCTCCTGCAGTGACTGACTGGAGGGAAGAAAACTGAGGCTCTGTTTGTTTGAAAGTGTTTGAGTTCCACAGTAAATAACTGTGTCTGTGTTGAACGCAGGGCCGTGTGGTGGAGAACATTTCGAAGCGATGTGGAGGTTTCCTGAGGAAGCTCAGTCTGAGGGGGTGTTTAGGTGTGGGAGACAGTGCACTCAGGTAAGGAGTGACCGGGAGAAGGACAGTGAGGCATTCTGGGTACATTCCCAAAGCTCAAACCAAGTTTTACTTTTAGTGTAAACCAGGTAAAGTGTGGAAATATGTGGAAAACACCAGTTGTAAATCACAATGATGGTGATAAATTAAAATGTAATAATATATAATAACACAGTACTGTGCAAAAGTTTTAGGCACCTGAGAACTTAAATTTAAAGCTGTTTTTTAGGGCCCAGTTTTCCAGAAGCTTCTTGGTGTTAAGATCATCCTAAGTGGAGAGGTTTCTGTTTAGGAAAGGCCTCAGATGTTAAAGTGTTGTTCGTCCTCTGTTGCAGAACGTTTGCCCAGAACTGCAGGAACATTGAGCTGCTCAGTCTGAACGGCTGCACCAAGATCACTGACAGGTCAGTCGTCCTCTCTCTCAGTGACCTATCTCGTTTACGGGGCTGCGACCTTTAAAGATTTCTTGGCTCCATACGCCATAAGCACCGTCCCATTTGAGAAGAACGCAGAGGATCTGTGAAATGCAGCGTCTGAATGCAGATTTTGGAGAAACTGTGGGAGAATTCACTTTTGAATGCATGTTTGCCTTGTTTGTTGTGAAAACGACTCTCAGTTTATCATACGGTGGAAAAGGATGTTTTGAACAATAAAACACAGTATTTAAAAGTAAAAGTATGTTTTCTCAATGATGGTAAAAATCTGTAAAATTACAATCATTTAATTCCTGCCTTTTACTGTAATTGCATTAGTTCAGCTAGTTATTCTACCAAGTGGTATTTTACCATAATGATAAGTTGCAACCATTAAAATACACACAAACATCTGTAAAATAAAGGTGGTCTTACAGTATACGCATGATATTTACATGCAGGTAAAATAAATAAATAAATATATATATACACACAATGTGTATATATATTAGGGCTGTTAACATTAATGCATTAACGCTCATGTTTAATTTGGAAAAATTATTCCTGTCTTAGCACGTTCATTTTTTTTAAGCAAATTAATCACATTATCAAGTTTGACCTGAACTTCCTACCATAATTCACGTAATAACACGATGACTGAGGAAACATCCCTTGGGGTGCTGAATGTCAAGTTTCGTTGTAAAAAGCTTCCAGATGAACGTTTAGATAAAACTAAAGTTCTCGAACTGGTAACTGAAGGTCACCACTATAGGAACAGATCTGGCAACATGATCGCGGCAGCAAGGAATCCACCATTCAAGCACATTATACAGAGGGTGATCACAGCGGCTCTCGGTCACAGCGGGTTTGCCGGTGCTTTAGCCAAGTACTGTAAAATAGTCAGACATTTCAAACACAGCAGAGCTGAAAGTTCAGCCTCTCATGGTCAAGAGGAGGAGTCACTCGTCCAGGACGTACCCTCGCTAGAGTTCAACTCTCGAAATGATAAAGCAGGTCCAACACAACAAGGACACACTGAAGGCAGCGCAGGCACAGCAGAACCTCGGTTTAGCCCTGTCTTTCACTGCCACACAATTGATGAATTCTTTTATTTGTTTTATCTGCTTCAAAAATACGAGTAAATACTGTTTAAACTTCACAATTAATCATTATTAATCATAATCTGTTATTGTGATTAATTTACATTTTTTTAATAAATTAACACCACTAAATATATATGTATACAGTATTTTGATATATATTTACAGTATCTTGACAGTGAAAACGCTTTTTAAAAATAGTGCTGTTATATTTAAAAATATGATGATGCATGTCGTGTTTCTGGAAAATGTCTTTTAGTATTGCTGCTGCTAAGAATGCTGTCTTCCCAACAACGGTCCTTTTGAGATGCACAGTGGGAGTGAACATTGCTTATGTTTTTATTAATTAATTAATTTATTTATTTATTTGTGTTATCTTCTCTCTCCTCTTCTGTGCAGCACCTGTAACAGTCTGAGTAAATTCTGCCCCAAGCTGAAGCACCTGGACCTCGCCTCTTGCACCTCAATCACCAACCTGTCCCTCAAAGCACTCAGGTAGACCTTTACAGAGCCCCAGTGGCTTTTCCTGTATTTTCAGACTTAGTAAAGTATCCTTACTGGGGTTGGGTATCGAACTCGTTCTTTTGGGCTCCCGAGTGGTGCAACCATCTAAGCGTTGGCCCTCTCATCAGGAGATCGCGAGTTCGATCCCTGGTGATGCTGCAGCCGTCCGTAGCCGGGAGTCCGAGAGAGCACAGTTGGCCACGCTCTTTCTGGGAGGGTGGGATGGCCCCTCCCCTCCCCCCATCACCTAACTAGCGGGTGGAATTCGAGATGACTAAATTGGGGAGATAATTGGGTAAAAATCCCCCCCCCCCAAAAAAAAGAACTCTGTTCTTTTAAGGGTACTGACCAAACTACGTCGGTTCTACTGAGTACCTATTCACGTTAAATCAGTCAGTGCCAAATTTTCAAGCCCAGCCGAATGGGGTCTCAGGGGTGGCTACACTTTTCAAAACTTGACGCAGACGGCGACAAAATATACATAAAACAATAACGAACATAAGTAGAAAATTGAAAAAAAATTATGATATGGGCCCTTAATATTAATATTAAATGTATGTGTTTTTATAATAATAATAAAATGTATTTTTTAACCCATTTTCTCTCTCTCTGTCTCTCTCTCTGCAGTGAGGGGTGTCCGTTGTTGGAGCAGTTGAATATCTCCTGGTGTGACCAGGTGACCAAAGATGGTGTCCAGGCTCTTGTGCGCTGCTGCCCAGGACTGAAGGGCCTCTTCCTCAAGGGCTGCACACAGGTACGCAGATACAGTCAGTGTCACTCAGAGTGCATTAAGAGCTGTGTGTACTGGAGCTACGAGGTTACCTTTGCTAACAAACATTAGAAGTCAGTACTCACCCAAATCTTCTGTGTGTGTACACACCGAAAACTTCTCTCAACCTGCTCACACCACATCTAGCACTTCAGTAATTCGGCGCAGGCTTGTAGATGTGGTTTAGGACAGAGTATGACTTACTGTGCGCTAGGGCTGGGCGATAAAACGATAACGATAATCATCGCGATATAACTTTTCCTCGATAGAGCGATACGACATGTTCGATAAATGTTCGATATAATACACCGCTCTCACACTTCCACATTCAGCGAAAGCCTTGGTGGCGTTTTCTACTGCAAGGAAAGCGACACTACTTTGCTGTCGCCAGGAGAGGGCGCACTTCCGAGTTTTTCTACATGATTAGAGAGGGAGGGGGCCACGAGTAAGATGAGTCTTTAGCAACGGCTGAAACGCATTCCCTGTTTGAGTGGAGCGACAGGCGATCTGCTCTCCTGTGACCGAGTGTGAGTGACGAGGTCAGTGGTGTAACTGTACTGTCCTACAGCGAACTCACCTCTTTACTAACATCCTAACCAGCTTTAGCAGCGTTAAATCACGTCTGCTCCTCTCAACTACAGCACTGTTACAGCACCAGTCATATTTTAGTATTAATGCATTCCCAAGCAACGAAAGTGAAAGAAAGAAGTGTGTTCATGCAGTTACGGCCCTGATGTAAACAAAAGTAAACTGAGGAAGCTGTGAAGCATTGGAGAGCGGGAGAGCGCTATCTTTCCAGGCTAGCTGTTTTTAGCAGCTGGCTAACTTAAAGCAGCGCTTCGTCACTGCACGACACGGAGAATTGATGATACTGTAGATCAAACACGACACAAAAGCACCGCTTTCAGTTTAAACAGACCTAAAAGGAGGACTCTGTTTGTCTGGTGTTGATATTTTGCGGTTCACCACTTAAACTACTACGATAGTATAGAGAAATCCAGTCGTCTAGCTGGTGTCTGAATACTGTGATGTCATGTGTAGCGGGGTAGCCGAGCGCTCGGCACCAGCTAAAATAATCTGTTTTCTTTCGTAAATTATGACTATTACAAAATAGCCATGCTTTTCCAGCTGGTAAAAACAGCTCAGCAGACACTTTCTCCCACTGTCCCATGACAGATCTGTGAGATGTTCCACTGTTTGGTGAGTGTTTGTCGTGTTCCAACCATAAAGGATAGTTTAAAACAGCAATTAACCACTCAGGAGCAAAAATCAGCCTTCAAACTTGAAAGAAATAATGATTTGACATTTATCGCGATATGTATCGATATCGAACGATATAAATTTTGTTTATCGTGATAACATTTTTGGCCATATCGCCCAGCTCTACTGTGAGCCATAAAACATGAACAGAACTTCACTGTATAGCTAAATGCTACAGGTCTGCACCATCTTAATGAAGTGCTGGATGCTGTTTGAGCAGGTTAAGAGAAGTTTTAGGTGTGTTTTCATTACGGCTGTGTATTGGCAAGAAAATGGGCGTGACGATACTTGTCACAGTGCAGGGGTTACGATTCAGTATATTGCGATACAATAAGAAAGGCGATACACTGCGATTTTTGAATATCTAATTTTTGGAAATTACTGTTTATGCTATCAGAACAGTGGGATATGCATGTAATAATAATAACAACAACAACAACAATTTCAATTTATATAGCGCCTTTCTCAAACCCAAGGGTTTACAAAAAGATCAGAAAATAAAATACATAATCAACAATAAATAAAACAACACACACACACACACACACACACACACACACACACACACACACACACACACACAACTGTACATTTCAAACAGCTAGCGAGGGGGATTACAATGACCACAGTATAGAGTCACTTAACTGGCCTGAAAAGAGTCCTTAGCCACGGGGAAAGTCTCACTCCACCACTACAGTGCGTCACACAGGCAGCCGGACTAGGAAGCCTTGAAGGCTGAAAATGTCCTTAGCCATGAAGGGGGAGCATTTTCCTGCAGCCAAACTCCACCAGTCCAGGCAGCCTCATAGTTGCAGTGCAGCATCACCCAGGTGGCTGGTCCAGGCTGCCTCATGTCTGCGCTGTAGCGTCGCTGAGGCAGCCGGCCCGAGAGACTTCCTAGCTGCAGCGTAGCGCTGTTCATCCAGCCGAACACTGCCGGTCCAGGCAGCCCCACAGCTGCAGTGCAGCGTCATCCAAGCAGCCAGCCCAGGCTGCCACGAATCTGCGATGTCACCGGTTCAGGCAGCCTCGTAGCTGCAATACAGCGTCACCCAAGCGGCCGATGCAGGCCGCATTATAGCTGTGATGTAGCGTCACCCAAACAGCCAGACCAATAAGCCACAGGTGGAAAATGGCTCTCGGCTGCTGTCTCGGTGGAATGATGGCAAACTCTTTAGCCAGCAGGGAAACATCAAAGCATACAAACAATACAAAACAAACGAAAATCAGTCCCTGTAACCCATCAATGTCTTAGCTCTACTTTTTCTGCAGTCCCCCCCTCCAAGTTCATGGACACCCTTTGGCAAGGCGAACAACACTGCAGCTTTTTTTATTTATTTATTTATTTTTTTATCTTTATGGCCAGGGGTCTCAAAATTCAATAAGGTCCAGTTAAAGGAAATTTAAAGCAAAGGACTGGAACATTATAATGTCTAACTTGCATCATGATTCGGTGCCATATACTGTTTACTGAAGTAGCCTAGCAGGCATATCAACATCTTTTACAGTCAACAGCGGAATATCAAATCAATTAAAGTACAATTCAGTCATATTTCAACAACATTTATTGTTGATTTTGTCTTTTTAGAGCCGTGTGAAATAATCTGGCTCACTTTCTTCTCCGACTGCTGTTTCTCACTTGTGTGTGCGTCACTCACTCGAGTCTCAGTGCTCATCTTAATGCACAGATCTGATTGGCTGAGTAGCGTCACATGTGATATGTACAACGCATGCGATTGGTCTGTGAGTCTCCTGGGCCGTTAAAGCTACCATAAAGGCTAGAAAAGTTACGCCGATTAAAATAGGACCACCCCAGCGTAATTAAATAATTCTCCATAGTTTATCGGTTATAGGTCCAGGTCCGCATAGGACAGCGTCTGGGTCTGGACTCGGACCACAGTCTGCCTATTAGTGACCTCTGTTTTAGACCATAAAACTTCGCAAACATCCTATGGACTAATACCGTGATATAACGTTAAGATGAACAGCAACACCGCAAGTAATGTAGCTACCGTTAGAGAGGTTGTGGGTCAGCAAACTGTCGCTGCTATAAAGCCAACAGTATGCGGGTCGTTTCAGGACATTGGTTCGTTCACATTGACAGATTTGAGACACTTACCTGAACAAGTGTGAAGCATCATGTTAGAGAGATCAGATCTGAGCAAAAAATCAGATTTGAGCAATGAGGCTTGTCATGTGAATGTAGTCTAATGGCTGAAAATAGATTACAACACTGCCATCTAGTGGTCGGGGGTTTAAACACCACACAGAATGAACCACGGCCTGCTGTGAATCTTTGCATGTAAACTACTAATTAAAAATCGATTCTGTGTTTTGAGAATCGATACACCATCACAAAACGCAATATCGCGATACTCAGGTGTGTCGATATTTTCTTACATCCCTAGTGTTCACTGAAATGGTGTTCGTTAGCAACTTTATAGCTCCAGCACTGACTTACAGAAGCAAAATGTGGACACTTAACATGTCTTGGCTGTTTGATAACATCTGGGGTGAAATGGGTACCTTTTAACTTTTATTTATGCAACTTTTTCACAATTCCTGTCATTTAATACCCAATTTAGTAACACTTTATTTTAAGTAACACACATTGGGGGTTTATTAACATCTTATTTATTTGAATAAATGAATCACCCAAATTAAATCACTTCTCAGTGCTTTATTCACTATGTATTATACCTGTTTAAGTTTGGGTCCTGAAGGTGTTTTTCATGCTGAGCTGTGTGCATCTTCTTTTCTTTTCTCTCTCTTAGTTGGAAGACGAGGCCTTAAAGCACATTGGAGCTCACTGTCCAGAACTGGTCACCCTCAACCTGCAGACGTGTTCAGTAAGACAGACACACATACACATGCTGCTGTTTGAGAAGATGCGCGTTCATTCATTGCCTTCTGAAATTAACCTTATTTTAAACTTTGCAGTCTTTACTTACGGACAGATACACCAAAATAATCAGGTTTTAAAAGTCTGCTCTACACGTTTGACTTTACAGACTTTTTCATATCCTTTTTTTACTTCAGGCCGACATAATGTTTTTGTAGTTTTATGTGGATACGTTTATATGATTAGTGTGTGTCGATGTAAATGTTTTTTACTTTTTGTTTGTATGGAATTCTTCCTTCATGGATAAATTGGTACAAACTGAAGTTTTACACGTTTGTTTTTTGGTGTTTATTATATTGCATGATTAAACCTTTACAAAGGAAATCCCAACCTTTACATCTTTTGCTTTACTAAGATGTTTTTCTGCAGGTTTCTTGCATTTCCACATTTCCACCAGAGGGGGCTCCAAATCCCCAAACATATTTAGTGCAGCAGTAAAGCGGGGTGAAAAGAGGCCCCGAATATTCTGTTATATCTCCCGTTAGGATGAAGCGATCTGCACCAAAAAAATACATGACATACCTTGACGTTTGTGCAATTGATTGCAGTACATGCGATGCTGGAAGTGATCTCCGTTTTCTGCCAGACACGTGAAGGGGTACAGGGGTCTGCATCCGGAAGTTGCAAACGGAAGTTAAACATCACGACGGCTGTCCGGTGCCCACCTCATCACTCCGACGCAGGGGCATCCCGGCTTGTTGGAAGCTCAATATACTGAGGAGCACAATGCACGTTGTTTGGTTCAGATTGCTTCGTCCTAGAGAGAGTTATTACAGAATATTCAGGGCCTCTTTCAAGTGAAACTCCCTGTATAATCTCGTGGAGGATTTTTCTCTTAGTGTTTCTCTGATTGTGCGTGTGTGTGTGTGTGTGTGTGTGTGTGTGTGTCGAGCAGCAGATCACAGATGAAGGTTTGATAACGATTTGTCGTGGGTGCCATCGACTGCAGTCTCTATGTGTTTCCGGCTGCGCAAACATTACAGACGCGATCCTCAACGCTTTGGGCCAAAACTGCCCTCGTCTCAGGTACATACACTGAAACAACCGCCCACTCATCTGCACACAGCTGGTAAATTAACACAGTAACTGCTGTAGAACTGATGTGTTACATTCATTAGACGTCTATCGGCATTCATAACAATTTTGCATTGTCATTAACGTCCCGCCAAAGATCAGATCAGATCATTTTGAGACTGAAATATGCACCAGCCAGGAGAGCTGGAGACCCCAATTCAGAACTTTTGAGGGAGAGACCAAATTACTTCAGTTCTACTGAGTTTCAGAAAAATTCCTGGTCATTTAATAGCAAATTTGGTAACACTTTATTTTAAGGAACACAGATTGGTGGTTTATTAACATCTTATTTGCTTGATAAAGCCCAATTTATTGACTATACATTCTGCCTGTATTAGTACATAATTAGATGTCTGTTATGTGGAAATCAGTAACAATTGCATTAATGCATTAATGTGAAGTAGTGCACAATATTAAGAACTTGCTGTGCAAAAGATTGAGCATAAATTCACATCTTATTAGCAAAACTGGCAAGGTTCTTCTAGGTTCTAGGTAGTGTGAATTCATTTCTGAAGTTTGTTGCTTTAGAGCTTATAAGAATTTAATATTTCAAGATATCTTTAATATTCTACAGAGTTCTAGTCATCGTAGAGGTTAAAAAGTGCTAAACAAGGTCTCAATGCATAAATTTGCATCTCATTTTCTAAAGTAAAGATAATATTATGGCTTTTTGGTAGCCAGAAATGTTTAAACATGGGAACATTTTGAACCCATTTTAGTTTCAACTCATTTTAACAACCAAATGCAGATACGTTGAACTCTTGCATATAAAGAGTTCAGTCAAACTATTGTGAATAGGTTTTGAGTTTGTATTAATGCCTTATTAAACTATTATTAGCTCTAAAGCAGTAAACTCCAGAAGTCACTTCACACTAACTAGAACCTGCAGGAATAACTGCTGCCAATTATACAGTAATAGGCTGTGAATTTATGTGATCTAATTATGTCCTAATACCGGTCATAAAGAATGAAGCTTAACTGAAGCTGAATAAATAGTTTAAAATGTGGGCTTTATTTGACTGTAATAAGCCCCCAATATGTGTTCCTTAAAATAAAGTGGTACCCCAAATTTCAGCTCGCTGAGTCGTCAGTCTTGTCAGCATCCATGAGCCAATAAGAATGCTGATTGGCTGTCCAAATTACCTTCTCTATGCATATTATTGTTGTCAGGGGTTCTTGAATAGTCTGTAAACACACCCACTTCCAGCACCTCACACTCATTTCTGGTTTAAGCCACACCCACTTTGGGGTTGTTTACTACAATTTGGGTTAATTTACTAGAAGGTGGGTTCAGAAATCAAGGTGTTTGTATTAAATTGTGTTTATTTGTTAATGGAACCGTAAGTAAGGCTACGTTCACATTACCAGGTTGAAGTGGCACAAATCCGATTTTCTGCCCTAATGTGACTCAGATCTGATGTTTTCAGAGCTGTGTGGACACAAATCTGATCTTCTCAAATCCGACCTGAGTCACTTTCATATGTGGTCCTAGATCGGATACATATCTGATTCGTGGCCATGCGAATCAGACGCTCAGATCGGAATTCATGTGCTTTTTTTCCACTGCGCTGCGCCATCATTCAGCGTTACCATGGCAGCAGCGCCAAACAGACGTTAAGGCTTGTAAACAGAGGAAAAGCAGCTCATCTCACCTTTTTCTCCTTCGTCTCACTCTAATAATGAAGCTGAGAGCTGATCAGAGTTAATGATCTTCTCAGTGAAGCTCGTTCTGCTCGTTAGTTTGTGCTGATGATGAACGTGATTCATTCACGTGACGTTACTGAGTAGGATGAGCTCATGAGGGTCATTTTAGGACGCCGGTTCGTCACATTAATGACAGATTTGAGTCACTCACCTAAACGAGTGTGAACCATCCTGTCAGAGAGATCGGATTTGAGCAAAAAATCGGATTTGAACAGTGAGGCTTGTAATATGAACGCAGCTGAAGTGTTACATTCAGTTGGACTCAATACAGCAGAAAAACTGAGGCGTAAAACAGAGAAACAAATAAAAGTTTCTCTGTTTTTCAGCCTCGCTTTGCACAGAACTCCTCTCAAAACGTTTTGAAGTCTTTGTTGATTAGTATTTATGAATGCTGCCCCCTACTGGATTAGACCGTAAACATGCTAAAGCTGGATGTTTTGGGGGCCAGGTTATGTCAGTCAGCTAATTCAGTTAAGATCTTTTTCCATAATAAAAGTTAATGTATTATTTTTCTTTCTTTGTTTATCTTTTCCTCTGTTCTCTGTCTCTCCCCATGTACGCAGAATACTAGAAGTGGCTCGCTGTTCACAACTCACAGATGTGGGTTTCACCACACTGGCACGGGTGAGTTATACGTTATTCAGTCAGACGGGGGGATAAGTTTAAGGCCATTTTCACGCTTGTCCTGAATGCTTGAGTCCGCACCCAGGCCTGATTCTGGGCTCGTTTGGGGGAGGGGCTGGTTTGCTTTCACACACAAGAATTACATCCGATTGATTGCGTAATTCCAGAAGTCACTTTCTGCCTATTTCAACCTCAGATTCTTGTTCTTTGCTCATTTTCTGTGAAGAACATATAAAATAACCCATTTTCAGTGTCTTCACTCTGTTCACCCCCCACACTTATTACACGTGTGGTGTTGGGCTGAACCTGCGGGGAGTAAAAGTGTGGAGGTGCTGTGTCCTTCACTCTGTTCTCCTCCTACATGGCCTGCTGTTAGTGTGTGTGTGTCTGTGTGTATATGTGTTTGTGTATATGAGTGTGTGTGTTGGGCTGCTGACTGGCTATAGCTGCTAAAGGAGAACCCTGGAACGCTGGACACTTGTGATATTTTTAACATCTGGTATTTTTACATTAATTGTTATGGCTGTATTGGTTTAATACACATTAATGCAGTGGGTCCAGCAGACCACTGAGTAACACACACACCAACACCACACAAGGGTGAAGGTGTTCCATCTCCTCTGCTGTCCACTGCACTCCTCTCCGCCATCACTAAACTTGATAATTTGAAGCGGTCACGTCACAAAATTAACCAATCCTGCAGGAGCGAGAGCTTCCACACGGCCAGTGGACCTACCAGAGTTGGCTGGAAACAAACCCCAGACCACCCATTTCGGGGGGGACCAGAGCTCGGTTCTCTGTTCCACTCCCGGGCTCAGAAACAGCTTTCACACTTGACCAAACGTACAGAACTCAGAGAGCGAGCTGTCCTGGGTCCGGCAAAAAAGCTCTAGTGTGAAAACACTCTTAGTTGCATGTACTTGCGATGGAAATTTCAGTCAAAGTTATTCTAAAGTTTTTAAGTCATTGAAAAAACCTACACACCCCAAAACAAAGAAGTAGTAGTGTTTGTCTACAGGCCACCACACTGGATTCATCAGGCAAACAAAAAATACAAAACAGAGAAAAAATTACAGGAGAGGGTCGCGGTATATTTGTTCGTTCTTGCCTGATGTTATTTTTTGCCTTTAATCTTCACTCCCTCTCGTTTTCACTCGTTTGCAGAATTGTCATGAGCTGGAGAAGATGGATCTGGAGGAATGTGTACAGGTGAGTTCATGTTGAGGTTCAATTTGTTGAAGATGTCTAGATAGAAATGCACTTTCTGTGCTGGAGCTGATCAAGTTCAGTCATTCACAGTGTTTTCTACTATTCAGACAATAACAATATGATATCAGTTATATATCAAAAAAGTAAATAAATTATTATAATAGCAGTAATAATGACAATAACAAATCAACTCCACAGGAGTATTTCAAATACTATTATTATTATTGCTACTGTTTTGTTTGCCATTTTCCTTCTTTTTCTTCTCATTATTATTATTATTATTATTATTATAGCAATATTTATTAACCCTTCAAAGTTAAAAAATAACACAAGGCTAACTTAAAACATACCTTTGCAACTATAAATGGACGGATGACATGGTGAAATGTAATACAATGAAGTTTATGATATGTGATGCATCACAATATTTATTTTTTCTGACATGTGATCAGTTAGAACAGACAAATTAGTGCCTCATTTAGGGAATACTATCAAAAACTATGAATCCAATCACTGTTCAGTGTTTCACACACTGTGCTGCACTAAATCCAATTCTGCAGGACTAATCAAGCTCTTTTCTTATTTATTCTTAAATACTGATGATATATACTTAGAGAAGTTTATTGTGCCATATTTTTATGTAATTTATCATGATAATGATAAATATTGTTATATTGCCCAGCTCTAGTATAAATACTGCCGTACAGCTTCTTCAGTCCTCTTGTACAAAGCAGTTTTTAGTCGTTCTCTCCTGCAGAGTTAAGTTTGTCACAGTAAGTTGAGCCTACTGGATTCGTTCTTCTTCGTCAGTGATCTTAAATCTCTTTTCTCCAAAAGAGTAAAAATGGAAACCCTCACAAATCGCAAATCTGTCTCACCTTGTAGAAACAAAATAAAATGTCTCTGTGATGCTTCATGCACGCGGCACACGTCCAACAGTGCGCTCGCTCTGTATGCAATCATGGAAATATACAATGCTGTGCAGATTACTGTAGGAGCTGCGCTCGGCAATGCAGTTTCGTGTAAAATACCCTTTAAATGAGTTTATAAGATTTATTTAAGCTGGTTGTGGTTGTGGTTGTGGTAAGCTGTCGTGTTTAGTTTGTCTCAGGGGCAGCACAGCGTATTTAATATCATGAGAGGGCGTTGTACCGGTGTTCACTTTTATACTGATATACCCCCCACCCCATTAACTCACTTAATATACTATTTGTTGCCCACACTAAATAACCACAGTTTAAAACAAAACCGACTCTTTCTCTCTGATGTGTCTCTTTCTTCCTCCAGATTACAGACGCCACCCTCATCCAGTTGTCCATACACTGCCCTCGGCTCCAGGTTCTGGTAAGAAATGAAAACTCTTAAGCTTCCTCTAAACATGACAGGTAAAATACTGCTGCCAGTAAAGTTTTGTTTCCGTAGGTTTTCAGTATATTCTCTAATGTAAAAACAGATTATGTGTATGCAACAGTTTCATATTACCAAGTTGTTATATTAAGTACTGATACACTAAAAGAAGGAAACATGAGGAAATCTAGGGTTAGGGTTACCTAACCTCAAGTGTAGTTGATCAGACAAGAAATGTTTGTTTTTGTGCCATTGGTCTCTGTCATTGGTGTAACAACAGGCTGTCGGCATCATTGGAGTAACCACAGACTTCACCTGTCATTGGTGTAACAACAGGCTGCCTCTGTCATTGGTGTAACAACAGGCTGCCTCTGTCATTGGTGTAACTGCCGAGTTTATCTCTGTGTCACTGGTGTAACCACAGGCTGTCTTTTTCATTGGAGTAACCACAGACTTTGTCTGTCATTGGTGTAACAACAGACTGCCTCTGTCATTGGTGTATCAGGCTGTCTCTGTCATTGGTGTAACCACCGAGTTTGTCTCTGTGTCACTGGTGTAACCACAGGCTGTCTCTTTCGTTGGAGTAACCACAGACTTCGCCTGTCATTGGTGTAACAACAGGCTGCCTCTGTCATTGGTGTAACTGCCGAGTTTATCTCTGTGTCACTGGTGTAACCACAGGCTGTCTCTTTCATTGGAGTAACCACAGACTTTGTCTGTCATTGGTGTAACAACAGACTGCCTCTGTCATTGGTGTATCAGGCTGTCTCTGTCATTTATGTAACCACCGAGTTTGTCTCTGTGTCACTGGTGTAACCACAGGCTGTCTCTTTCATTGGAGTAACCACAGACTTTGTCTGTCATTGGTGTAACAACAGACTGCCTCTGTCATTGGTGTATCAGGCCGTTTCTGTCATTGGTGTAACCACCGAGTTTGTCTCTGTGTCACTGGTGTAACCACAGGCTGTCTCTGTCATTGGAGTAACTGCAGAGTTTGTCTCAGTCATTGGTGTAACAACAGGACATTTCTGTCATTGGAGTAACTGCAGAGTTTGTCTCTGTCATTGGTGTAACAACAGGACATTTCTGTCATTGGAGTAACTGCAGAGTTTGTCTCAGTCATTGGTGTAACAACAGGCTGTCTCTGTCTCTTGGTGTAACAGCAGAGTTTGTCTCTGTCATTTATGTAACAACAGGACAGGCTGCCTGTCATTGGGGTGACCACAGAGTTGGTCTCTGTGTCACTGGTGTAACAATGGGCTGTTTCTGTCATTGGTGTAACCACAAGCTGTCAGGCTGTCTGTGTTGTTGGGATAACCCCACAGTTTGTCTCCGTCACTGGCATAATGCCAGAGTTTGTGTCTGTCATTGGAATAACTAGTTTGTTTTTGAGTCATTGGTGATGTTTTATTGCTGTAACCTCAGAATTTCTCTCCGTCACTGACATAACCAGAGTTTGTCTCTGTGTCACCGGGGCAACCCCAGAGGTTGTTTCTGTGACATTGGTGTAGCCATGTAAGTTTCTGTCATTGGCGCAACCCCAGGGTTTATTTCTGTGTTATAAGCACAGAGGTTGTCCGTCACTGTCATAAACTCAGAGTTTGTCTCGGTCATTGGCATAACCAGAGACTGCCTCTGTGTCATTGTTGTAACTCTAGAGTCTGTCCCATTGTGAGTTGATCACGGATGATGGGATCCGTCACCTGGGCAGTGGTCCGTGTGCTCATGACCGTCTGGAGGTGATCGAGCTGGACAACTGCCCGTTAATCACAGACGCTTCCCTGGAGCACCTTAAAACCTGCCACAGCCTCGACCGCATCGAACTCTACGACTGCCAACAGATCACTCGCGCTGGCATCAAACGACTGAGGGTGAGTCGGCACACACGCACCACGCCGCCTTCCCCAGCTCCTGGAAGAAAACCAGCCTGCAGTTTGTGTCTAACACTTACATGATCACGACAAGCTCTTCAGAGGGTGGTCTCATGTCTTTACACACGTTGAGATGTTTATTCCTGTGGTGATAAATGTGTTACAAGCTTACCGGACAAAAAATTAGTTGCATGCATCATTTCTTCTCTAATACTTGGTTACGCGTCCCCTTGACGTAATAACAGCACTAGTCCTGTAAGGTAAAGATTACTCTGGTCTCTATTGAGCTCCTGTCCATTCTAGTCATCTGGTTTTAGCCACAGTTCCTGTGTTCCTGTTTCTGCGTTTCGCCTGCTGTTCTGCATTGAGAACTGAGACTGAGATCTGGAGATTTTGCTGGTCCGTCAAACTTTCACAGTGTTGTTGTCTGTTGAAGTTAGTGGAAGGGTGGACTAGAATGGACAGGAACTGAATGGACAGGAACTGAAGAGACTGGTGTGATCTCTACCTGACAGGATTGCTGCTATAATTATGGCAACATTTGGAAGTTTTAAGTGTATATATAATATAATAATATAATAATGTATTAATTTGTCCAGGGAGCTTACACACACACACACACACACACACACACACACACACACACACACATACATGCATACATACACACACACACAAATATCTAAATAAATACAGCGTTTTTTAACTGTTAATAGAAGTTGAAGTAATTTTGACACATTTCTGTTGGTGTGTATATATATATATATATATATATATATATATATATATATATATATATATATATATATATATATATATATATACACACACACATACACGCTGTCATTAAAGTAAAAAGGGGGTACACCACCAAATACTAAAATTCTGCAATTTATGTTAAAATTTTAAAGATTCCACTTCTTACTCAAATTATTATGTTGATGGTATAATTTGTAATGAAAAACTTTTTCATGAATGAGAGAGAGAGAGCATAGAAGCCTTTTCATTAGTGATCTCAGACTTTTAGACTCCTGTGTGCATGTGTGTGTGCGTGTGCGTGCGTGTGTGTGCGCACGTGTGCGTGTGTTTTAGAACGTTGGGGATGTGATGTGTAAATACACAAATGTATGATGTTCTTCAGTGAACACGCTGCGTGATGTTTTCTGTTGTGTGAATGTGCTGCTGTATTGGATAGTTTCCACTTCTGGAAGACACTGATTAGAATAAACTTTAAACAGGCTTGAAAAGGGTTTAATAGCTTGAACAGTCTTGTTTTATCATATTTGGTGATGAATTTCTTCACACAGTAGTGAAAAGAAAGTGATTTCTTTTTTTCTTTAAGTAGTTTAATACAGTCGTGAGACATTAATGCTGTTGTCCAGTCACTGTGTTTTCATGTTCTTAATAATCCGATAATTGCAGAAAATCACATTATCTCAGTAATCCGATCAACACGTTTACATGCACTTCAGTAATCAGATAATGGGGAAACTCTGGGTTTACATGAGTCAGACAATAATCGGATTTCTGCTTTACAACTAGCCAATAGACTCATAGAGGAAGATGTGATGTAAACGTAACATAAAACCTGATATTTTACTTTGTGCAACTTTACTTAAAAATGAACAAACGTCATCTAGAAGATGAAGAATATTTAAATACTTAATTTTGTGTTTGGTTTCAGCGTCACTCCAAAGTGTTTTGCTGCGTCTCGCGGCGACGCTGCTCGCTTATTTCTGTTACCGCAGTCTGTTTTCGCACATGCTCAGACTGAGAAATCTGAAAGAAATCAGAGTAAGAGTTTACATGCACTGAGAAATCTGATTACTGAGCTAAAATCCAGCCTTTTTATCAGATTTCTAGATCGGAGTATGGTGTTTACATGACCATTTGGATAATCGGATAACTGCAGAAATCTGATTATGGTCAGGTTATTGAGTGCATGTAAAAACACTCACTCCGGTGCTTTTTACCTAAACACTTTTCTTTCTCCTTTTTTTCTCTATCCAGACTCACTTACCCAACATTAAAGTCCACGCCTACTTTGCACCAGTGACTCCGCCCCCCTCTGTAGGCGGGAGCCGTCAGAGGTTTTGCCGCTGCTGCATTCTGCTATGATGAAGCTCCGCCTCCTTCAACCCAAGCCCCTGTCCTTCAGCCCCTTTACCCAGTAGCACATGTTGGTGGATCACCTGATAGAGAGAGCTAGACTGAGACAGACAGAGAGAGAGACACTTACTCTGATGTAGTCCGTGTTCTGTTAAAATGGGCAAAGCTGGTGAGTTTGTCACTTAAATGAATGAAACTAGCATTTTTCAAATTGTAAAGAAAATGAATAGATCTCAAAATGAAATATTTATAAGCTCTTTTTTCCTAATTAATTAAAATTATTATTATTTTTCATCTTAAATGGGACCACTATTCCTGAATACACGTTAGTGGCTGTTTTTTCCTTTAAACCACTATTTAACTTGGACAAGCCACCACTAATAAAATAATAACAATAATAATAATAATTCAGTTATTTAAGTTATCTGAGTGGTTTGATGTAAAATGGCTCACTGTGTTGCTCCAAAAATGACTTGAACTATTTTGCCTCAGCGCCCTGCATATTATGCATCCCTCCACCATTAATGGAGTTTAAGTTCTCTAAACTATCATAAAACAGTGTCTCAGTCATCAGGCAGTGAATTCATAACCATTTCATGTAGGAACTTTCTGTGAGGGAGCTTTTAGAGGTGGACGTCTGGTTCCTATCAGCACCACTGTGAACAGTTCTGACTCGGTAAGTTTCTCTAGAACAGAGCGTTTCACACCAAACAACTCTAAACGACTCTGTTTACATCTTAACTGTGATTTAATTACGCAGAAATTTTGAGACATTGGAGTTGAAATTAGAGCAAAGCCTGGATGGCTAAAACAACACACGAGTGTCAACCATGAGTAATGTAGCTCGATTACTGAGGAGCGTCTTTGCACGGCTCTTTGGAACAACTAACCAACAGGAATCAACACAGACACCTCTCTCTCTCTCTCTCTCTCTCTCTCTCTCTCTCTCTCTCTCTCTCTCTCTCTCTCTCTCTCTCAGTCTCTCTAAAGCTGGATTGCTCAGTCGAACTAAAAGAGGACTATTTTTCTAAAGCATTAACAGACGTATTGCTGGTGATCGGAGTTGATGCCAAAAGATGCATGTTACAAATCTAGTTTTTTAAAAACAATCTACAGACAAGTCTTTATGCGGAACTTTCCACGGGAGGGGCCTGGCCACCGCCGGCCAATGAGCAACAAGCAAGGTCAGCCTGGCTTACGGCCGGCCGATAGGATTTAGCTGGATGATGACATCATGGACTGCTCCTCCGGAAAGACTGGGGCATTACTGAGTGGACGGCTGGAGGGCGAATGTGTGCAGAAGGAAAATCGGCGAGCTTCTCACGGATGGAGGCGTTCCCTCACCTGCGGAATGTGGCCCATGGATTTGACGTTCAACCTGAACGGATGGACATAAAACAAACAAACAAACAAACAAACCGAAAAAAAGGAAACTACACGTGTTGTCCTGGACTGCTAATTGACTGAAATCTCTCGACAAGAGAAAACAGACTGACCGAAAAAAACAAGACAACCAAGAAAAATCAAAGGTGTATTTTGTTGTCGTCGTTGTCGTCAGTGTCGATTTATTTCTGTTTTCTTTTTCCTTTTTCTTGTCAGGTTTGTTTCTTTTACTGTTTATCTGATTTGCAGGTTTGCATCACTGAGTGTTTTAGACAGGTAGCTTGTCTGGAGTGCTCTAGCAACGAAGCCCATTTTACACCAGACGCGTTAGCTGTGCGGAAACGCTCACCAGTTTTGTTTCGTTTGTTTTAGATTTTTACCCAATTTTCTCACCGATGTAGTCACGTCTGATTCCCACCCTCTGGCTGTCACACAGTGCTACCAGGCTGGGAGGGTGAAGGCTAGCATAAGCTTCTTCTGATACATATGCACTTGGTGGTGAGCGCTAACTGCTAGTTCTATTATGCTAGCTAGCAGGTGAAAGCGTATCCATGTTCCCAGGGCCTTATATTCCTTCAGCTCCTAATATAATACCCCGTACTTCAATCATATGCATTAAGAAAACCTCTAAAAGGCTTATCATGGGTCATCAGTGGTCATACATGAGACAGTAATTAGCCAATTTGTTAATATGAATGCACTTGCCCTCGTCTAGACTAGCTTCAGTGAGCTAATTAGCTAGCTAAACAAACTTCATAATGCAATTTTTTAGTATAGATAAACATTGTAAACAACTGGTTTGCTTTAGGTTTACAAAAAGTGCCATAGTGCACTGCATCATGAGACCCTGTGAACTTAGTGATGATCCCCTAACAGACTAGTATTACTAAATGACCATCCTGCCCATCCAGAGAGACCGAGAAGGATTTTTGTGTCTTAGAATCCCAGACAAAGATGGCTGTGGCATCACCTGCGATCGACCTCACCATCTCCCGACAGCAAGGCCATTGCATAGATGGTTGCACCACTAAGCTCCTATGCTCATGGTTGATACTGGCCATGTGTGTCATGCAGTGCCACAGTGCAAAAATAAGCTTTAAGTCTATTTTTGACGCTTGCCGTGTGCAGCATGCTAGCTTTTTTTTTCTAGCTAGAAACAGCACAAAATTCAGTATTCTTCTTATATTGTGCAATCTAGGTCCATAACCAAACCAGACGCTAGGGTCGCCACCTGTCCAGGAACTTTCCTGCATTGTCCTGGATTTTGCTTGCCTGAAACTCCATTTCTGGACTTGAAATGTTTCAGAATCCAAGTATTTTCATATGTTAGCAATTCCTAAAGGTTTACACTGCTTCTTTTTATCCAATCAAACCATTTCTTTACCAAGAATGGGGTTCAGATTACCCTCAACGTGGAGATTTTCGGAAAGGAGCGCTTAGAAGATCGGGGTCTGTAGCTGGACTGATACCTATTCACCGTAGACTGCATGATGAGCACAGCTACCCATCCACTGAATTGAGCAGCAAATCAAGCACCGGATCGAGCGTCCCGGGGTCTTATAGGGCTGAGGTGGCAACCCTCGCAGACGGCGATGTTTTAATTTGAAGCAGCATTAAACTAAACCAAACACGTGGAAAAGAAAACGCTCTGTACAGCGCACGGCAGTCGCATCCGGTGCAAACTCGCAGCTTCTGGTGTAAAATCGGCAAAAGTAAAGACAGATACTTGTGCAGAATGCTTTATTTTGGCCCCATGCAGGAGAAAGTGTGCGTTCTATGATTGCTCTTGTGTTCTTCGTTTATCTGGAACATCAGGATAACTCACGTACTGCTAATCTACACACACACACACACACACACACTGATTCCGCCTTTCCTCTTTTCTCTCTGTGCTTTTACAGTAACTGGCTGGAGTTTAGCATTGTGGCTATTTAGCTCACGCTCACTACGTCACCGGCTCTGTTTCAGTTCACAGTAGAAGGTTTACAGCGCGGCTTTGTTTGCCGTTTCAGACAGACCTTATTGCATCAAAGCTAACAGGCTAATTCACTTCATTCACACAGCGCCATTTTGCTAATGTTGCTGCACATGGGAGGGGGAATGGTAGCTGACCTGTAAACGTTCTGCCCACTATAGCTGATATTTTGCACGGTGATTTAATCAGCTAGCTAAGCTACAGTTGAGTAGTCAAGCTAATGTTTCTCAGCCAGCTTCGCTAAGTTAGCTGATGTTGCTCCTGACCGACTTGCCCCATCCAGGCTCTGTGTTCCTTAGTAGCTACTGGTGCTCGGTTTACAGAACGTTAGCTAAAACCTCATTCAAGAAAATGAGAAAGTGTAGCACGATAAATTATCTGCATTGTTCTGCTACGGTGTTAGTTTACTTACATTTGAGTCTCCAAAGATGCTACAAAGATGGTTCTTCAAAGGTTCTTTAGTAAAGACAGTGGTTTTATACAGAACCGTGAACACTCAAGGAACAATCTGCATGCTTAAGTGGTTCTTTGCATGGTGAAATGGTTCTTCAGGTTGATGGAGAATGTGTTGTATATGGTTCTATAAAAACGTCTCCCTTCCAAAAGGGGTTCTGCTGTTGTCACAGCTTGAGCCATGTTTTTTAGAACCATTTACAACACAATCTCCATCAATCTGAAGAACTATTTCACCATGCAAAGAACCACTTAATCATGCAAAGGGTTCTTTGAGTGTTTATGGTTCTATATGGGACTGTTGTCTTTACTGAACTAACCCTTGAAGAACCGTCTCTGAGTGTATCATTATGAGCTGGTTAGCTTCTTGCTAACAGTAGAGTTAACATGTGTTTTTCTCACGTTTACCTTGAAAACGCAAAGTAAAGTCCAGCTTTCTGTTTCAGCAGCACAGCATCTCCGAGACGAGGTGAACGTGTGCGCTAACCGTTAGCTAGCTAGCTAACTCGCGAAGCTTGTTGACAGATGTTAGCCTGTCTAGCTAACTGCAGCTCTGCTAGCTAAATGAGTGAACAAATATCTCCCCAAATCTCTCCAGACTTCTCTTATTTATTGTTTTTATTTATGTTCTCCAGCTGATGGTTTATGTTATTGTTTACGTTTGTATGATATTCACCCTGCGCTGCAGCGAGACGTAGCATCTCCCGGCCTGAGCGTGACGAGAGCGGCGTTCACTGCAAAAAATGGTATCTTGACAAGTGAAGTTATCTTAATTCTAGTCGATTTGTCTAAAATTTCTTATTTTGAGATGGCTGTGCAGTGAATATAAGATTATCTAGCTCATTTCTAGGCTTTTTTCTGCTTGTTTTAAGGGATTTTATTGGGTAAAATGATCTCACTGTAGTGGCAGATGATTTTGCTGGTTTTCTTAAAAGAAGCTAAATTATCTGCCAGCATAGTGAGATCATTTTACTTAACAAAACCCCTTTAAACAAGTAAAACATGCCTAGAAATAAGCTAGATAATCTCATTATAAGCTTACATCGAACTCAACAGGAGAAATATTGGATAGATCAACTAGATTTAAGATGGTTTTACTTGACTGTTATGCTGTTCTTTGCAGTGTGTCTGGCGCCTGTGTGGATTAGGCTGATGCTGCGTTCATGACCAAGTGGGACCTCAGTAGCCCATTTGAACGTCCCTCCGTCTTGTACCTCCCACTCAGTCAAAAACCTGTTGCTAATTCATGATTTGATTTCAGCGAGACGTGATATCGTGTTTTTAGCGCTTTAAACTTTACGCTTTGGAGTTTGCATTTGTTTATGACATGCCATTCTGTGGAAGATTTGTGTTCAGACTGCTCACTTTCGTGTCATTTCTTTGGCACAATATTAACGCAAAGGTACCACAACCTTCATCCACTTTTACAATAAACAAAGCACTAACCAATCAGCTCTTTAATTCAGATGTAAACACTTTTTGTTCCCACACAGCAGAATTCAAGCAGCTTATAGGTGGGAATCTCCCTGCTGGAAAAAAAACATAGAAACCATTAAAAGTCTCTACTGGTTCTTGCTGGGGTCCCATAGTCTCTAATGGTATTCTGTGTATCACAGTGTAAAGGACTCTAATGGTTTAACAGGTGTTCTGACTCCAGATGCATTTGATGGTTTCCTAATGGAATCTGAAGGTGTCCTTAGGAAACTAGTGGCCTCTAATGGTAACAATTAAGCCAATTCCCACTAGAAAGCAAAAGCATCAGGTTTTAATCCTAATGGTCTCTTTTTAGCAGGATAGGAGATTCCAAGTTGGAGAATTCCAAGATCCGGCTGTCGTCATGAATGCAGCATGAGGCTAATATAGTTCACGCGCGCACACACACATGCACACTCACGCACACACATGCGCACACACACACACACACACTTACACACTTCCGCGCACACACAGTGATGTCGCTCTGGCTGATACTCCCACAGTGCCACAGTACAAACTGATTACAGACCTCCACACATCCATCTGTGCACCTCTCTCTCTCTCTCTCTCTCTCTCTCTCTCTCTCTCTCTCTCTCTCTCTCTCCTGTGTTGCTCAAGCACACTCACCCATCCTTAGCCGTGTATCTGTAAACAGTGCGGTCTGTTCAGTGCACAGTTAGTGTCAGTGTGCGCGTGTATGTGCATATGTATGTATGTATGTATGTATGAGTGAGTTTTGGGGGGGGCAGAGGGAGTGGGGGGGGTGTCTGGGGTTCCGGGGGTTTCCGGGGGGTCCGGGGCTCGTGCACTCTGGTAGATTTTGATCCTGGGATTTTACTTCAGTTTTGACAATGACTAGTTGTTGCTGCAATTACAGACAATTACTGTAAATCTCCTCCCTTCTTTTCTTTGACTTTTTTATTTTTACAATTAACCCATATAAATGAATATGTATGTATGAATAAATATATAACTATATATTATTAAGAGATGTGTTTTTCTGTTTTTTGTTTTTTTTGTATTGAGCAAATCCTTAATTGAGTAGCCATCATTTATTATTATTATTATTATTATTATTGTTGTTGTTGTTGTTATTATAAGCACCAGAAACACAAGAGTTGTATGCAAAACTTTGACCACCCTGGTCAAATTTATGATTTCGTAAATGAAAATAAGTGAACACCTCTTCTACAGAGAACACACCTAAATATGACATTTTTCTGCGATTTTTACACAAGAAATTCTCTTTATTTGAGAAAAAAATTTAATAAAACAATATAAATGTGCTGAAGCTCTTGCGCAGGCCACACACTGTTTGTTTTTTTTCCTCCCAGTGTGTTAAATTCAGTAAACAAACAGTAATTGTGTATTAAATGTGCAGAGTCTCTGTGAAGGACGTGTTATTTACCCTCAACTTATTTACACTCAGAAAATCAACCTGGACTTTGACTCGGGCGATTAAATGAAGGTCTGAGCTCTTTTTATACAAAAACAACATTTGTTACCAGCAAGTTTGTGACAGGAAAAATTAATCATGGCAGAAAATTAAAGTGAATTTGACCGGTCAGTGAATAAACTGCCTGCTGTATTACCAGCTCAGATCAGTGAGAACAGAAAAGTGTCATTTCTGCTGTAACTGCAGTGAAACTACTAGAGGTTCTCGGCGCTTCTGCACACAGAGCAACACTGCAGCTCTGAGAGAGACTGTAATGAGCCGCAGTGACCACAAGAGGGCGCTGCCTCCTCTCTGAAAGTTAACTCCTATCAGCATTCACTGAGATAAGCAGCTGGAGATCAGAGCATTTTAACATCTTACACTCTTAAAAAAGATGGTTCTGCAATGGTTCTATTTAGAACCATGAGTTCTAAGTGGTGAAATGGTTCTTCAGATTGATGGAGAATGTGTTGTAGATGGTTTTATGTGGAACCTTTTTGAAAGGGGTTCTATATAGCACTAAAAAGAGTTCTTCTGTTTTAGGCATGATATTGTAACAATAGCAGAACTCTTTTTGGTGCTATATAGAACCATATACAGCCCATTCTCCATCTATCTGAAGAACCATTTCACCATACAGAGAACCATTTAATCATGCAAATGGTTCTATGTAAAAGCCAAGGTTCTAAATAGAATGATTCCCTTTCCTAAAGAACCTTTGAAGAACTGTCTTCTTTAAGACTGTAGACTGTAGCAGTACAGCGATTGAAAGGCTGTTATTTTGTACTGAGTGTCGCCTTCTATAATGAAATCAGGTACAATTTTGCATTATAAATTATATTAATTATTCAATAATAATAATGATAATACACACTCACACTAATAATAATAATGATAATACACACACTAATAATAATAATACACAATTACACTAATAATAATAATGATAATACACTAATAATAATAATAATACACACACTAATAATAATAATACACAATTACACTAATAATAATAATGATAATACACACTTACACTAATAATGATTACACACACTTATAATAATAATACACACTAATAATAATGATAATACACACTCTAATAATAATAATGATAATACTTACACTAATAATAATGATAATACACACACTAATAATAATAATGATAATACACACTAATAATAATGATAACACACACTAATAATAATGATAATAGTCAAGTCAAATTTATTTGTATAGCGCTTTTTACAACTGATGTTGTCACAAAGCAGCTTCACAGAAATCCATTAAGGACAAAGTTTCAACATGAAATGTAAATCCTCCAGCTGAGCAAGCCAGGAAAAACTCCCTCAGAGCTGAGGAAGAAACCTTGGGAGGAACCAAGGCTCACAAGGGGGGACCCATCCTCCTCTGGTCAAACTACCTACAAAATTATTATACTCCTAATATTAATAGTAGTAGTAGTAATAGTTAGGAGTCCACTTCAGTGTAGGGTGGGCAGCTAGTCCAAGGCAGGTGGCAGTAGCTGGGCAAGTGGCGGTGACTGGGGCGTGGGCAACTGGTCTGAAGCGGGTAACAGGAGAGCTTGACAGACAATCATCCATCAGTGTCCGGCCGGACAGGTGGGCAGTCGTTTACTCGGAAATAATACACACACTAATAATAATAATGATAATGATAATACACACTTACTCTAATAATAATAATGATAATACACACACTAATAATATTAATGAATAATAATGATACATTTCTTGTGTGTTATTAGTATGAGGAGAAGAGAGGGAGAAATGATAAAAGAGAAATAAACGTAAAAGAAAAGAGAGAAGCAGGGTGAAAGAAACAAGAAAGAGAGAAACAGTAAAAAAGGGAGAAAAATGAGAGGAAGAGTAAAGAGGGAGAGAAAGTATATAGAGAGAGTGAAGAGAGTAAAGAGAGAAAAGGGAGAGAGGAAGGGGAGAGACAGAGGAAGAGGGAAAAGGGAGAGGAAGAGGAGAGACAGAGGAAGAGGAGAGACAGAGGAAGAGAGTAAAGAGAGGAAAAGGAGAGACAGAGGAAGAGAGAGTAAAGAGAGAAAAGGGAGAGAGGAAAAGAAAGTATAGAGGGAGGGAGAGGGAGAGAAACAGTGGAGAGAAAGGAAAAGAAAGTAAAGAGGGAGAAAAACAGTGGAGAGAGAGGAAAATAAAGAGGGAGAAAAGAGTAGAGAGGAAGAGAAAGGGGAGAGAGAGAGGGAGAGGAACAGTAAATAGAGGGAGAAAGAGCAAAGGAGAGAGTGAGGGAGAGAGGGAGAAAGAGAAAGAAAAAGGAGAGAGAGGAAGAGAAAGAGTAAAGAGGGAGGGAGAGGAATAGTAAAAAGAGAGGAAGAGAAAGTGTAACGAGAGAGAGAGGAAGAGAAACAGTAAAGCGAGGCAGAGAGAGAGAGAGAGAGAGAGCGCGGTGTGCGGAGCAGCAGTGCAGTGCGGTCGGCGGAGTGGAGCGTGTGCGGAGCGGAGCTGAAACGGAGGGAGAGATGATGGAGAGCAGAGAGACGGAGGGAGAGACGCTGCAGCGCTCACCCAGCACACTCTCCATCACACACTCCTCTAAGGTGAGTTACTCACTCTCACACTGCTTTAACACAGCGCTCACCTGTTACACCGGCTCACTCTCACTCTCCGCTAACCAGTGAACACATTTAAAAGGGGAACTCCACAGATTTTACAAAATTCCCCCATAACTCAGTGTGTGAGATGTAGATCAGAGAGATTCAGAGTGGTTTGGTGTGAAATGGCTCAGATGTCTTTACAGTGGTGGTGATAGGAACCAGGGGGTCACCATGACTACAACACAAATATAGACATTTTATTTACTATCCAGAACCACCAGTGAACCTACACGAGTCTTCTGAGTTTATATGGAATGTTGATGATGGAAAATAGTGGAAAATCAGAAATAATAAGTTTTCTTTGGGGACTATTTTGCCTCATAACACCCTGCATATTATGTATCCCTCCACCATGAATGGAGTTTAAGGCCAAAACTATCATAAAACAGTGTCTCAGTCATCTGGCAGTGAATTCATAACCATTTCATGTAGGAACTTTCTGTGAGGGAGCTTTTAGAGGTGGACGTCTGGTTCCTATCACCACCACTGTGAACAGTTCTGACTCTGTAAGTTTCTCTAGAACAGAGTGTTTCACACCAAACCACTCTGAATGACTCTCTCTGAACAAATTTTGGAAATTCAGTGGACTTCCCCTTTAAATCTAGCTCCTCTCATTATGAGATTGCTGTACTGTTATTTGACCCACACTCTGTTCGAGCTCCTCCAGCGTTTCTTCTGAAATGAAGGTGTTAATAGTGAGTCTGTGCTGCAGTAACAGCCTCTACTCTTCTGGAAAAGCTTCTAGATGTTGGAACATTGCTGTGAGGATTTGATTGAGCATTAGTGAGGTCAGGTGCTGATGTTGGATGGTCAGTTCTGGATCACTCCAACTCATCCCAAAAGTACTGGATGGAGCTCCATCACTCCAGAGAACACAGTTCCACTGCTCCACAGCCCAGTGCTGGGGGGGGTTTATACCCCTCTAGCCCACGCTGGGCATTAGACATGGTGACCTTAGGCTCATGTGTAGCTGCTCCAGAGCGTCCCCTTCCATCGGTCAGTGCTTTTCTGTGGAGATTATACAATAGGAAAGTGTTAATTTCACTAATTAGCAGGGCTGTCTGGATGCTTTTGGACTTGTGGTGCATTTCTAGACATCTTTAACTTACTTTAGATAACCTGATCAAATGAAATGATCTTATTTTGTTGGCAAATAATCAATTAATCACTTACAACGAGTATAAATGTCTACAAATATGTTCGGTTCTCATTCATTAATATTCTTCCAGCACTCTGAGAAACATATCGCCTGATCTTAAAGAGCCTGTATTCTGCAATTTTCTCTATTTTACTGTGTCCACTCACAGTGTTTGTGTGGTTTTCTGTACCAAAAATAATCATAATTCACTTTTACATGATCAACATCTCTTTATCCCTTACACTCTTAAAAAAGATGGTTCTTCAAAGGTTCTTTATTAAAGACAATGGTTCTAGAACCATAAACGCTTTGCATGATTAAATGGTTGTTTGCATGGTGAAATGGTTCTTCAGATTGATGGAGAATGTGTCATATATGGTTCTATATAGCACCTAAAAGGGTTCTGCTATTGTTACGATGTCAAGTTTGTAACAATAGACAAACCCCTTTTTTCTGATTCTTTAAGGGTTCTTTAAAGAAAATGGTTCTATATAGAACCATGAACATGCAAAGAATGCTTTGCATGTTCATGGTTTGCAATTCTTCAAATTGATGGAGAATGTGCATGAATGTGGTGTAGATGGTTCTGTATAGAACCTTTTTAAAGAAGGGTTCTATATATATATATAGCACCCAAAAGGGTTCTTCAATTGTTAGAAGCTTTACACCGTAACATTAGAAGAACGCTTTTTGGTTCTATATAGAACTATCTACAGCACATTCTCCATCAGTCTGAAGAACGATTTCATGATGCAAAGAACCCTTTAATCATGCAAAGCATTTTTTGAGTGTTTGTGGTTCTATATAGAACCATTTTCTTTACTGAAGAGTGTAGAATTAAACCAGTCTGTTTTTGTTACTGTCTCTTTAAGAGTGCTATATGTAAATGAGCTCTGTTGTGATTGGATCATACTCTTGTATCATGCCTCACTCAAAAAGCAGACTGAAACACTCACAATAACGTCAGTGTTAGTGGGCGGGGCTAAGCAGAGCTGCAGGCTGAATAGGCAGATATATGTTTATGTGTTGGTTTTTGTGACATCACAAAATTTGAAATGGGGTAGTTTTTGCAGCGTGGTTTCCATTAATATCCTGTATGGACTCAGGAGTGGATGGTATGTTTTAAAACGTTTCTGTACTACATCAAACAGTTTTATTTTTAAACAAAAGGAAAATTCAGCTATTCTGTGATATGTCCCTTTAATGTCCTTTCAGAGGGCAGTCTATTCTTTACAGCGTTGTGATGTAAGCTTGATGAGAAATGGACTGATCTGAAGGCCGTTCGATTGAATTACCACTGAATATCTTCTACATTTATTGCTGGTGTTCCCATCTCAGTCCTCACTTTGTGCATATGTTAGTGCTCCCCCTCGTCCAGCTCACCTGACTCAGCTGATTAACTAATTAAGAAGCTCCTGGTGTGCTGGGTCAGGTGTGTCAGAGCGTTCTTCCACTGCACACTCAAAACCAAAGCTGACTCAGTGTACTCTTCTAGTTCTAGTTCATTTCCCTTCCTACTAAAAAAATAACATAGACCATCATGCATTTCATTTCACACTGCACTTTAGCAAGCGCACTAAACACCTATACCTGACACACCTATGTCCTGTCGTCATCACCTACGTGGACTCCGTCTGAAAACTTGTAGAGAGGAGAATTTCCACTCTGTGATGTCTTCTGGGTTCCTCAAACACTAGAGGGCGCTCCTGAGTGAGTCCAAAATGAATGGGTTCACATGGAGCATTTGAGTAAATTCATAGTTTATAAATGCTTAAACATTTTTAATGTACATTCATGATGTCAGTGAGCACGAACAACCAATGAGATGCTCTGCTCACCGACCAATCAGCACTCAGTAGCAGTAATACTAACTAATCAGCGCTCAGTAGCAGTAAAGCTAACCAATCAGCACTCAGTAGCAGTGATGCTAACCAATCAGCACTCAGTAGCAGTAATGCTAACCAATCAGCGCTCAGTAGCAGCAATGCTAACCAATCAGCTCTCAGTAGCAGCAATGCTAACCAATCAGCGCTCAGTAGCAGTAATGCTAACCAATCAGCGCTCAGTAGCAGTAATGCTAACTAATCAGCGCTCAGTAGCAGTAATGCTAACCAATCAGCACTCAGTAGCAGTAATGCTAACCAATCAGGGCTCAGTAGCAGTAATGCTAACCAATCAGCACTCAGTAGCAGCAATGCTAACCAATCAGCGCTCAGTAGCAGTAATGCTAACCAATCAGCGCTCAGTAGCAGTAATGCTAACCAATCAGCGCTCAGTAGCAGCAATGCTAACCAATCAGCTCTCAGTAGCAGCAATGCTAACCAATCAGCGCTCAGTAGCAGTAATGCTAACCAATCAGCGCTCAGTAGCAGTAATGCTAACCAATCAGCGCTCAGTAGCAGTAATGCTAACCAATCAGCGCTCAGTAGCAGCATTCTTCTACTGTCTAAAATTAAAGGAAAGTTCTGGTTCAGTGATTAGAAACTATTTTAGCTATTCATTTTTAGCCGTTTAGCTCCATTCACTCCCTTTCATTGAGGACTCGCTCGTGAGCGCCCTCTGGTGATTTGCAGGCCTGTTTTTGATATAACGGGGGAAACAGGAAGAGGCCAGACTCCTCATAAACCGGCTCTGGCTGTGTCTTCCTGTACTGAACACTGATTGGTTTGTAGAGGAGCGTCTGACGTCGGCGTGTGGTCAGTTTGGCAGGCAGCCTTTTCCATTTGAATGGAGAAAAATGAGGCCTGTGTTCAAGATTTGTGTAAGACTTTATTTAATCATCTAAAACATTTATCATCCAAACTCTGTTCTGTTCTAATACAATCAGATCCAGAGAGGCTTGTTCATACCTTCATTTGTTTCAATGAGCTTTTTACTGGAGTATAAGCCAAGTACACCGGTCAGACATAACATTATAACTACCTCCTTGTTTCTACGCTGATTGTCCATTTTATCAGCTCCACTTACTGTATAGGTGCACTTAACTCCAGCAGCACTGCTGTGTCTGATCCACTCACACCAGCACAACACACACTAACACACCACCACCACGTCAGTGTTACTGCAGTGCTGAGAATGATCCACCACCCAAATAGTACCTGCTCTGTGGGGGTCCATGGGGGTCCTGACCACTGAAGAACAGGGTAAAAGGGGTCTAACAAAGTATCAGAGAAACAGATGGACTACAGTCTGTAACTGTAGAACTACAAAGTGCACCTATATAGTAAGTGGAGCTGATAAAATGGACAATGAGTGTAGAAACAAGGAGGTGGTCATAATGTTATGCCTGATCGGTGTATATCGGATACTCACAGCTATACTCGGGATGCCTCTGAAAAACTTTACAATTTGCAATGGTTCTTCCATTGTCACAGCTTTCTTGTAAACCTAAAAACTTGCCAGATTTTCCCAAGAGATTGGTGGAAAGCGGGAATTGTTCCTCATTTCTCAAACCGAAGACGAAAGAGGAGATGTGTACGATTTCAGTTAATGTGAGGAAGAGCGCATTTCCAAACGAAGAATTGTTGAACCAAACATTTTGTTGCCATTGGAGCGTCAGCGCCGCTAAGTTAGCAGCGTGTCAGCGCTGGAGTAACCAGCCAACATAGGACCCTCCGAATACTAGGGAGCATTTTGCACACTGTCTCCGATGTGGACTGAATGAAGAATGAAGGGTTTCCGGCGTGATGGTGAGCCCTTAGTGAGTGTCCATTGGTCAGTTTCACACAGAATGTAGACGGACACACGAATCCACCAGCTCCACACAGTGAGAGGCAGATGACGTGTATCTCAGCCCCTCTTCATA